AAATATTTGTAATTCCTTACAATATTTTAAAACTGACAAATTTATTATTTTGATAAAACCAGGATTATTGGTTAAATATACCAAACATTCTTTATGAACTCATAGATGTTTAACTAAAACAATTCTTAAAAAAAGTCAAAGACAAACATATGCAGGATAAGAACTACTAGATATACTGCACAATAGTTGATAAGATCACGTAGATCCAGTTAAGTTAAATATTCCAAGAATTTGCTGCATGACCAGTGTATTATACATGGTTGTGCAAAGACGGTCTATAAAATTATTAGGTGTAATTTATTCTGTCACGTGTTTAATTTGTTCTTTACCATCTTGGTCTCTGATAACTTTGACAAGAAATGTTGTATGATGATTAGATCACATGGATCTCTCAGAAAAAAAGCATTACACGGAGATAAGATGACTAAAGTTTAAGCATTCATCTTAAAACTATCCGTATGGTTAGTAAAACTCCAAGTATAGGTATAGTTTACTCTTTCAACAAATCAAATAAATTCAAAATATAAAATCATTTAATATTTTTACATAATAACCAAAAACTACATTAAACTTTATTATGCTAGCAATAATCTAACAATTTAAAGTTGTTTAATAGAATTAAACAAATCGATTCTCACACCACCTATAAGCGGAATTAGAAAACTCAACTTTTAGAAAATGCTATATGTCTTGGCGCATTATAGTTCAAACAGTAAAACCGGTTTTATATACGAGAAAAGTTGCGGGATTACTTCACGTTCTCGTCAAAGCGAAATTAGAATTTTTGAAAAATGGTTGAGAAATCACACGTTTATAAAGCCATAGCTCAGGTTGTAGACATGTTAGAGTAAATTCAAAGTTATTGTAGGAATCAGAAGGAGAAATTGTGCAAGATATTTTTATAAAAAAGGCGTGGCCGTAAAATGAACAGGATATTGACCCCAGGATAATGCTTAAAAGAAAGCCCTGCTACTATAGAAAGCTAGAAAGCTTGGAAGATAGGGAAAACGCGGGGTATTCAGAGTACAATAAATCGCGGGAGGATGAGGACACAGAACAGCTGATGAGAAATTCAATTTTTACACACGTGAAGTTGATAACTTGATTTTTAGTTATCAATATGGGACGATTACAGTTATCATAGGGGAGGGGCAAGCGTTAGATTTACAAGTTTTGTAAAGGGTAAAATATGACTATTCTAGCTTGGGCCCTCAGCTTTGCATGGAGTTTTACCTACAAAAGTCAACTCACTCAGTTTAAAATTTTTAGGAACATTCCCGTGATACTTCTCAGATTCCAAATCAAAATTTGAGTTAACCGTGAAATCGGTGAACGGGTTCATGAGTTATGATCGGAAGTCCAAAACAAATAGACAAACAGAATAACGGTGATAACTAATTCTAATAAAAAGATGAAAAATACGTATATATATATATTTATATCTGGCTTTTTCTAATCAAATATAATTTCAGTGAGTTTTTTGTACTAAAATGGTTGGGAAGGTAGCAGGTCCTAAAGATCCGTGTAAGATGGTCCAAGCCATTTTCTTTTGGCTTGGAATTGGAACCCTACTCCCTTGGAATATGTTCATCACGGTAGGATTACTCCCCCCCCCTCCCCCTTCAAGCAGCCTTTGGTCTTAAGGAGTCTAGCGTCATTTCAAGTGATCCTCCAGACAAAGATGGCAATGTCCGATTTACAATGGTACCCTTGAAAGCTGATAAATAATGAGGTTTCCAAATGTTTAACTTGAATCATTCCTATTTTTTCCTGCAGCAGAAGTCAATTTTCAAAATTATTAACATTGATAACTTATTCAAACCTGATCAGACAAAGCTTTTAAGGGTACCGTTGTGAATCGGGCTTTGGCCATCTTTGGATGGAGAGTTGCTTGAAATTACACTTATAGTCCCTTTAAGAGAAACAATTTTTAAACATATTCTTCAATTTAGTTTTGAAGAATTCGGATAGTATTTTATGAACCTTTCAGTTGGGAATCAAACTTTCTATAGAGGGGGCAATGTCCCCCCGCCCTTCCCTTAACTGCACATTATGTTAACATTTTAAAAGAAAGCAAGCCATGTGTTGTGAATTAAATGAAGAATTTAAAGGCCTGGAAACTGGTTTATTTTAGGATTGTCAAAGTCAGGTTTATTATCTTTTCATATCATGTTTATTATGTATTACTTAGTACGCATTTTTATTCACTCTCATGGGCGTAAACAGATATTTTCTTACATGGAGTCATAGAGGGGTGTCATCTCCAACCCGCATATTTCTGATCTCTATAATTTTGCATCTTAATATGGGAAACCCCAGTTATTTCAAACAAAGAATTTAACTAAATTATATCGAATTGTCAAAAGTTTGATAACTTGAATTTTTATCATTGATGTTAATATTACTTAGCAAAAAACGAACCAAAAGCGAACGTGATAAAACAGTTTTGAAATGTTTTAAGTTTACTAAAAGATTTTGAAAAGATATGAATTTCTATTTTTTGGTCAAACTAGAATTCTTTCTACGCCTACATGAATTCTACCTAATAATGTATATTTAGGTGAACGCGTATTGGAATCATAAGTTCAGAAATATAACCCATGAATCTAATGGAACCACCCAGAGCGAAGAAACGGAGGTAGGGATTATGTATTTTTCATTTAATCTTGAGAAAAAATACACCCCCCCCCCTCCACGAATTTGAGTTGACTTTTTCTCCGTCTTACACGTTTTTTCCGAAATTCTATATGTTAATCCACGTTTTTAGCCACCTCAACTTTTTATTTCATCTCTCGTTGCAACTTCTTACAATTAGTTAGGAATATAGATGAATACAATATATTCTGTTTACTTAGTAAACAAATATTAACAGTAATTTACTCATTCAATGTTTTCTCTCAAAATAATGTTTTATTTGATACTTGCGTGTTTGGAAACCCAGCTTTGCCCAGAGTTCTCACTGAAATTCAACCCCCCAACTTGTAATTTTCAACATTACCAGAGTTCCCGCCTCTGGCTATTTATAGCTTCTATGGGTACCAAAGTTTCCTTGGTTCCGTGAATTTTCAACTATCTACGTCTTGCACCTAATTGCTCTATGGTCTCTCTGGTTCCTTGAATTACAAATTATCTATGTATATGATCTAACTTCTCTTAGGTTCTTTGAATTACAAATTATCTATGTATATGATCTAACTGCTCTATGGTTCCTTGAATTAGAAATTATCTTTATATACGATCAAACTGCTCTATGGGTTCTTGAATTAGAAATTATCTTTATATAGGATCAAACTGCTCTATGGTTTCTTGAATTAGAAATTATTTACAAATTATCTATGTAAAGGATTTAACTGCTGTATGGTTTCTTGAATTAGAAATTATCTATGTAAAGGATCTAACTGCTCTATGGTTTCTTGAATTAGAAATTATCTATATAAAGGATCTAACTGCTGTATGGTTCCTTGAATTACAAATTATCTATGTATATGATCTAACTGCTATATGGTTTCTGGAATTACAAATTATTTACAAATTATCTCTGTAAAAGATCTCTGCTGCATGGTTTCTTGAATTAAAAATTATTTATGTATAGGATCTAACTGCTCTATGGTATCTTGAATTAGAAATTATCTATGTATAGGATCTGACTGCTCTATGGCCTGGATATCTGGCAGTGGCCTCTATGGTACCCAATGTAACCTTTCTTATTCTAAATGGAGTCTTTGGGCACAGGTAATTTGTTTCCTGTGTTTCGAGGGAATGATTTTTCTAACTTTATTATTTTAAAATGGAAATATTTTGATGGAGCCAATTTTGACGAGAAAACACGTTAGATTCCATTTTATTGTAAAATGGACTGTAAGCGTAACTTTAAGTGACCCTCCATGCACAGACGGCAATGCCCGATCCACGCCGGTATTCTTGATTAAATAGATAATGTGGATGCCATTGTTTCTCTAATAATTTCTATTCGTTTTCCTGCAGTAGAAATGTACAAAACACTTCAAGAGAAATTGCATGTGAAAATAATCAGCTTTTAAAATTATAGACGTTGATATCTAATTTCTACTTGATTAGACAACGCTTTACAGAGTACCGTTCTGTATCCGACAAAGTCATCTTTGCATGCAGGGTACCTTTAAATTTCGCCTACAGTCCCTTTAAGACATGTCTGATTTGTTTCAGGTTCAAGACCCAGCCTAGGTTACTGGCCAGCCTTATCCTGGTCATCATCCTCTTCATCTTCACCTCCGTCATGGTCCAGGTAAACATCATTCATATTAACAAAAAAATCAAATTTTAAAATGGATGGATAAATTCTAGTTTTTCTCTTTTCCAATCGATTATAAATTGACCAGTGCTTAGGATCCGGATCCGCTGGATCCGTATTATTTTGGCTCTCTGGATCCGGATCCGCAAAAAAATGCGGATCCACGGATCCGGATCCAAGCACAATTTTATTTTTCAAAATGTGCAAAACAGCGTTATTTTTCCTTAAAAATATCTTATTTTGAATTGTTTAACAGATTTTAAAAATATTCTCAGGGTCTCAGGTTTCTATTTTTCTCAAATCTTAACTCAGACCTCCACCGTGCCCCCCCCCCCCTTTAATAACTAGAGAGGGGGGGGGAGAAGTCTCCCTTTTCCCCATTGCAACTAAGCAAATTCAGTCTTCACAAATTAAGGTGTAAGGATGTGTAAAAGGGAGGGGGCGCACATATGCTAAAAAGATACAGATGCTAAGGAACATCTTGTGTTCCCAGTATAAAGAGACTGTTCTCTGCCCTGAAGATATTCAAATCAGACCTAAGTAGTTGCCTGAAGGCAGATATTCCAACCGCCCTCCTTCTACTAAAAGCTAATATGTATTAGACCTGTTTTTTTCATCCAATAAAGTAAAAAAAATCATTATCATTTTGTGCAAACTAGTAGAAAAATAGTATAAAAAAATGTTAAAATGTTTAACATTTTTTTTAGGTATGAAAAGATATTTGAACTAAAATAAAATTTTTTTTTGATCAATGACCTGGATCCGGATCCGAATCCGGATCCATTTTTTTGAAAAGCGGATCCAGGATCCGGATCCGCATCAAAATTAAATGGATCCTAAGCACTGATAAATTCTAACCGATAAACAGTTTGGTTTGCTGCTTTTTTTTCGAAAAACAATATTTTTTGAAAATTTTGACGGAACATAAATTGTGGGCGTTTTTGAGGAAATAATGTGTCCCTAAGGTTATTCATAAACCCTATTAATGTTCAAAAATTTAGATTGATACAGATGAATGGCAATCATCGTTCCTTTACCTCACCCTGGCTTCTGTTGTTATTATTAACATCAACTCTGCTATCTTCCAGGTATATATACTGACCCTTCCTCTAGTTGTAGACCAGTTGACCTGTAGTCAATAGTTAGTTCAGGTGTCCTCTAGGTATCAACAAGTAGTCAAGGTGAGAATGTATTGACCAGTTGACCTTAGGTAGGTTCTAGGTTACCTTTAGTATTAGTTAATAACCAGGTGACCTTAAGGTAGTTAAGGTGACCTCTAGGTAGCAACCAGTTGACCTTTAGGTAGTTGAGGTGAGTAGGTATCAACCAGTTGACCTTAAGGTAGTAATGGTGACCTCTAGGTAGCAACCAGTTGACCTTAAGGTAGGTTAGATTACCTCTAGGTAATAACCAGTTTAGGTAGTTCATGTGACCTTTAGGTATCAACGTTGACCGTAAGGTAAATTCAGGTATTCTCTATGTATCAACCAGTTAACCTTTAGGTAGGTCAGATGACCTGTAATATAAAAGAGAAATTATTTTTCAAGAGAAGATATACCCCTGTTAAACCCCCTTCTACTTTTCAAATGCATAATTATTTATTATTTTATCTGCTGACATAACCTTTTAACATGCAAGGAGCATGTATATATAAAATGTATTTCTTCATGATTTTGATAGACTAATTAAATTTTATTATCAATATCATATCTTTATTTAACATGTGTCCAACATGAATGAATAGGGAGGGGAGGGGTTTATTGACTTGAAGCTACTATCTGACTATTTAAACTTTATAAATACCCAAATATGTCGAGTTTAATTGTTTGGGGAGGAATTCTTATCTTTAGGGTGAACATTTTCTACAATTCCAGAAATGGGAATGGGAAGGATGACAAGGAGACTAAACAATATTTTTTCCCCCAAATTTTGACTTGGATCTTTTTCCTCCTACAATTAATATTTGACATGAAACATGACATGAAGTGTATCTCTTTCTTCTATATATAAATTTGGCTTGTCTGTCTGTTTGTTTGTTTGTTTGTATCCAATAAACGTCAAAACGGCTGAACCGATCGGGCCCAAATTTTTTGTGGGACATCTAGGGACCCCAGGGAAGGTTTATGAATGATCAAAATTTCAAATATTTGTCTCCATCAAAATTCGATCTTCATTAAAGTTTTGAAAATTTTGAAAATCCATAAATTTTTTTGTGAAAATCCGCGAATTATTTTTGTTTTGTTTTACGATGTACTCAAAGAGAACATGTTCACAATTAATTTAGAAGATGAGTTTTATTTAAATATGTCATTTTATGTATCTAAGAAAGGGGGGGGGGGGTGAAAGTGATCGGGACTACAGGGGAAGATTAAAAAAATATATATATATTTCCTTCTTATTTAAAAATAACATGTTGTCTCTGAGCTATTTGGCTTGTATCAATGTATAAATGCAACTGTCAATGCATTGAGTTAGATATATTTATTTTATCATGAGATTTCACATTGTTGGATGATAATCAACTTTAAAGCTTGCTGGAATGTGTAGACTATTCTACTGATATAAATATAATTTGCTATAGATTGTACTCTTTGTAATTATAATCTCTGAAAACCCAACTAAGCAAAATAAAATGACACTTAATTTCAAATTCGTGAATTTTAATTCACCTTTAAACTGAGATAGCCCGGAAACCATATAGGGATAGTCAGTAGACCATAAATTAGATAGTCTGAAGATCAAATGTGATAGTCTAGAGATTCTATGTGATAGTCAAGAGGTTAAACAGGGATAGTTTTGAGATTATTAATGGGATAGTACGGAAACTATAAATGGGATATTCTATTTAACTGGGATAATCTGGAGACTATAAATGGGATAACCTAGAGACTTTAGCTGGAATAGTCTTGAGACTAAAAATGGGGAGATTCCGGAAACTATAAATGTGACCGCTTGGAGTCAAAAAATGGGATAGTCCGGAGACTATAAATGGGATAATCCAAAGATAACAACGAAATAGTCCGGAAACTATAAATGGGAGAGTCTGAAGGCTATAAATGGAATAGTCCGGAGACTAAAAACGGGGTCGTCTTGAAACTCTAAATGGGATAGTTCGGAGACTATAAATGGAATAGTCCGGAAACTTTAAAGAGATAGTCCGGAGACTTAATGAGAGAGGCGGGAAACTATAATGGGATAGTCCGGAAACTGTAATGGGATAGTCCGGAAACTAAAAATGGGACAATCCATGGACTATAAATGAGATAGTCACCGTTTAAAATAATGATAATTAATACTCCATGTATAAAGATCAGATATTGAAAATAATGATTATGAATACTCCATGTATAAAGATCAGATATTGAAAATAATGATTATGAATACACCATGTATCAAGATCTGATACTAAAAATAATGATAATGAATACTCCATGTATAAGATCAGATATTAAAAATAATGATTATGAATACTCCATGTATAAAGATCAGATATTGAAAATAATGATTATGAATACACCATGTATAAAGATCTGATACTAAAAATAATGATTATGAATACTCCATGTATAAAGATCAGATATTAAAGATAATGATTATGAATACTCCATGTATAANCATAAATGTCTGGCCTACTACCCTAATGGGTTAATTCCTTTAACTAACATTTTAATTTTACGTATAGGATGGATTAGGGGGTAGGGGTCATCAGCAAATAGATATTATAGCAACAAAAAATGCGTGTTTAAAAAAAATTTATTCTTTATTTCCTGTTATTTTATTTGATGAACCCCTGATAAAAGTAATTAGATAAAAAATTACTATAAATAACACAGACAAAAAGGATATTATTCTTAGATAATAATTATGTGTGGATAGAACGTAATAAAGGGAATATCAAATATCTAATTAAGGTATAGAATAAATAACCTTAACATTATTTTAAGAAAGAAAAAAAACAAATTAATGCTATTTGTGCATGCTTGTAAAAGTATGTTAAAAGTAGAATAAATCATTGGTTTTAGAAAAGTTAGATGCTAAAAGTAATAAAAAGAAAGAAATCTAGCCTATATATGAAGATATTAGATTAAAAGAGAAAATAAAAATATTAAAAGTGGTTGAAATGTTTTAAAGATTTATTTTCCGAATCACAACTGCATATTTGAATAGTAGAAGTGACTTTAGACAAATAATGAAATTTCAAGGAATTAAAACAAATAACAACTTTTTCCTCCTTGTTACTCCGATAAAGGATATTGTTTTTAATCGGTCATGTAACTTAACTGTCTAAACGGATGATCAATTTATAATACGTCAACACTTCCTTAAAATGTTTTGTGCTTTAAAGTAAAAGCCTCAAGTCGGTCGTTTATTGGTTGATTTCTTGTTCTTAGATCAACTACATCCTCACATAGTTTTCCTGGCCCCCCCTTCCCCGCCCCTCCTCGTGAAAAAGATCAACAATTCGTCATTAAACCATTCTAGGTTGGGTGAAGATAGATAGATAGTCACGGGTTGTTTCTCTTTAATATATGGGGGGGGGAAGGGTTCCACGGCATGCATATTCAATAATAAATCATTTAAATATAATATTTGTATCAGGGTGGTATCTTGGGAGTAGCTGGTAAGTTCCCTCCTGCCTATATGGGAGCTGTATTCTCTGGTCAAGCCCTGGGAGGAATATTCGCGTCGGGAACAAATGTCGTCGTCCTTGCACTCGGAGCTACTCCCACTCAGGCAGCCTTCTTCTGCTTTGTTCTGTCAGGTTAGTAAATTAAGATTATGAAAATCAGGGGTTTGGGGTGTTCATGGGAATTTGACCCCTCCACACACTATCTCTCTCGGCTTGCATACTATGCTATGATATATTCTCGCTCAAGCTTTTAAAATCTTCAGCAATGCAAACATAATATTCAATGCACTACTCAAAGAAGTATTTTAAGGGTTCACAAAGAAGGAAAAGGGGGATATCTCTCCTTGTTTGTCAAAAGATAGTAGAAACAGAGCTTAACAGGGTTACTACAAAATAATTTCTGAACAAAAAAAGTAAGAAATATCATCACAACTAAACCGCTTAACTACAGAATATCAACCAACAAATCATAAAACTATAATTTGAACTAAATAACCAACAAATACACGAAATAGCCTAAAAAATAACAATTTTGCAAGCGAATACAGAATTTTACAAAACATTGCAGTGCAAAACTTAAAATATTTTAGAATTTATCTGACCCAGCATAAATGCCGATTATATGCACTTAAGGCTTATCTTACTAAACACTTACAAAGTACTTTGTTTATAATTTAATGTTTGTTTTGCTACCTCCTAACTTATCAAACACAAATAATATTTGAATTTGAATATATGTTTGTAGATTATAAAAACAGTGTTGAACATTTATAAAGTAAATAATTATGATTTCTTTTAATTAATAGGAAGAAAAAATATTTTTATTGCAACATTATTTTTTGTTTGAAAGAAATTGATCATTTCTGATAATCCGCGGCGCATTTTTAATAATATTTTCCTTTAATCGGGGCTTATCTAGTGGTTATCAGTGATCAGATCTTTATCAAATCACTTTCATTATAGTTTGAGTTTTATACACATTATACATGCATTGTTATATCATCAAATTAATTAGTTTATATAAAGTTAATACAAATTGATATATCAAATGTTCATAAATGTCTGGCCTACTACCCCCCTCCCCCCCATCATCACATAGAAAGTTATCCTACATGCATGGAAGCATGCTGCTGGAAAGGAAAAAGATTCATAAATGTCTTAGCCTACTACCCCACCCCCATCCCTCAGGAAGTTATCCTACATGCATGGATGCATGCTACTGGAAAGGAAAAAGGTTTATAAAGTCTGGATATTGATGGAATAAGGATGTCTACAACTTATTGTACTATTGTTTAGTACTGTTTCTTGGTACTGCGCTGGTTGCATACATGGTGGCTACACGGAGCGAGTTCTATAAACACTATCTAGGAGAAGGCGATCAATTGGTAAGGAATTATTAAATATTTACAACCTGCATATTTTCCCCTCAGCTTTTGGTAAATGCAAAAAGATGTTTACCGCCATTGTTCGATATCCTTATCCCTTGTTTCTACTCATTGCTTTTTTTTAACGATAAGATTATTTATTTTGACTGAGATTGGAACCTTTGTGTGGATGTTAAACGCTTGATCACGATATCCAATGCGGGCACTTAAAGATTCTTTGATCAATGTTTAATGCCTGGAAATAAAGTTAACCCTGCAGGGTATGGTCATCACGGTGTAACTAGGTGGATTTTATTTAATACGTAAGCCTTTGCATTAGATGGAGATCATTTCTGATCCCGAGATTCTTATTCGCATTTATTGTACAGGAAAAACATGATGATCACAAGCTATTGGAAACATCACCCGATCATAAGGTAAACTTTATCCCGTTATTCCATTCAGGTTTCAGATTCGAAAGTTTCGCCTTTTAAAGCCGAAGCATATGGTGGCCTGGGGTCTCCAAATTTTGAGAGGGGGGGGGGGTCTCTCAGATTTTGATTTCAATGATCTAATGTGGACCAGATTTTTTTTAACTTGAGAATATTATAACTTAACTCAATCTTTCATTCGGTACATCAGTAGTCTGAGATGGCTTGTATTACAGAATCCTGGTTCAAAGATACAACCTGCAGCCATGAATATTGATGGGTTAAGATAGTTTACGATCTAGTATTATTATTTTAGAAGTGAAAACATGTATTGCAAGCATATGTTAGGAATTCTGAAGTTTGTCGTTAATTTGATTGTCTAATTTATTTTATATTTTGTAAAACTAATTCTTCAAATCCTGTTGAACGTACAAATCATATGCCTACAACTTATCTAGTTAGAAGTTTACAATGGAAGAAAATAAGCACTTTCCTCTGTCTATCATGGGTTCATGTTGTAATCATGTGTTTATATTAAAAGCATGAATATTGTAGTGAGATCATCATATACTTTGGTCCAACCTTGGAAAAGTTTAATTTTTAATAAATATTTTCTAATAGTTAAATACTGGCTGAACTGATAGTTTAGCAACGTTTGAATGTTGAATTTTGAAGCAGTTTAATAAGATAAGATTGTTATGCTTGAAATATTATATTCTAAATACTTTTATCAATTTGCACGTTCTGTATCATGTGTGGACATTTTCCAAGATCTCTCAGAATTTTATAGAAATAAGATATTATATATTTATCATTTCTATCTACTCTGTGCAGTATGTTAATTGTAGATACTAATTTGTAATCTGTTCTAAGTCCGATTCACAAAGGTACCTTATAAACCTTTGTTTAAGTAACAACGTGGAAGATGATATCGTCGTTTTTCTTGAAACTGATTTTTGATATTTCCTTCATTGTTTTAGCTGCATGCATAAATCCGAAAATCAAGGGTACCGTTGTGAATCCAAAATGTCATTTTTTTTTTAAATGGGGGGGGGTTGCTTGAAAATGAAGTTATTATTCCGACCAATCCTTCTGATTTACCTCGAGAAATCTCGCGATGGAAAACTATTAAGTCATCGCAATTATCGATACTGTTGAGGTCCAATACTACTGTTGGGAATCGTTCATGGCAATTTCTTTTTATATTGAATATATGCGAGATATTGTTATTATATTTGAAAATGTTTCAGCCTACGATCCCCGTGAAGGTGAACCCTCTCTCCGTGTTAGCCCAGATCTGGCCCTACGGTTTAGCAGTCCTGCTCACCTTCCTAGTTACACTTGGATGCTTCCCAGCTATCACTGTCAGGGTGAGTAACGGTCAGGATACTACGGAATAGGCATAAAATATGGGTCTGGAGAAATAGGAAGAGGGAACGGGGGGTTTGTTATGCTTGTCATAGGACGGGGTTTGATAAAAAAGTAAGGTTGGGTTAGAGGGAATGGGAGAGTTAATGCAAGAACGAAATTTATCTGTTTTACAAGGTTTTAATCTAAGACGTATCATATTTACAATATATTCAGGTTCAATCAACCGAGAGTGAAGGTCTATGGGCAACAAAGTTCTTTATCCCTGTCAGCTGCTTCCTGCTCTTCAATGTTGGAGATTACCTTGGTCGGTTTCTAGCAGGACTCATTCAGTGGCCTAAACCTGGCCGGGTTGGAGCAATCCTTACCCTTACCTTCTCCCTACTCAGGTAAACCTGGTAGGGTTGGAGCAATCCTTACCCTTACCTTACCTTCTTCTTGCTCATGTAAACCCGGTAGGGTTGGAGCAATCCTTACCTTCTCCCTACTCAGATAAACCTGGCAGGATTGTAGCAATCCTTACAAGGTAGGGTTGGAGCAATCCTTACCCTTACCTTCTCTCTACCTGGGTAAACCTGGTAGGGTTGGAGCAATCCTTACCCTTACCTTACCTTCTTCTTGCTCATGTAAACCCGGTAGGGTTGGAGCAATCCTTACCTTCTCCCTACTCAGGTAAACCTGGCAGGATTGTAGCAATCCTTACAAGGTAGGGTTGGAGCAATCCTTACCCTTTCCTTCTCTCTACTTGGGTAAACCTTGTAGGGTTGGAGCAATCCTTACCCTCACCACCTATGTTTGTAATTTTCTTGAAAAAAAGAACCAGATTCTAATTCCAATTGAAATACTATTGGGACATAAATTAAGAGAGTAGGACAATAATTAAGAAATAGAGCTTTAATTTTAGTGCTTTTTCCCTGCAATTTAAATCAACTGAACAAGATCTAATTTATGCAACTTCGTAATTGCAAACCAGCAAGAAATCAATTTACAATGAATTTTCCTATAGTGTCAAATTATTTGCTTCAGAATCTGTTTCATCCCGTTGTTTGTTATCTGCAACGCGTCCCCCGGAGCCAGGACCTTGACCCCGGTTCTCCTGGAGTCGGACACAGCGTACATTGTCATCATGCTCCTCTTTTCCCTCACCAACGGATACCTGGGATCTATCTGCATGATGGGAGCTCCTCAGGTTAGGATAAAGGGACTCATCCCAATATTACTCAGGTTTTCAGCCTCTAAAACGAATAATGAATCTGAAATGGATTGCCAACGTAATTTCAATATATATGACGGATTAAAAACCTTTATCTGAGTTACAAAGAGGAAGTAATTCTCGTTTTTCTAACTTGGTAAAAGATAAATTATTTCATTCTCCGTCCTTGTCTCTGCAGTTTTATTCCTCCAGTCTCTTAAGATGAGAAACTGCTTAGGATCCGGATCTGCCGCAAGATTTTGACTTCCCTGGATCCGGATCAGCAAAAATATGCGGATCCACGGGGCAAAATATCAACCAAAAACTGCAACAACAAAATTTAACTCCAAATCTGAACTGTTGTAAAAAGAGAGATTATAAAAATGTCCTATCTGAATGGTTCATCAAGTATTAGAATAAAAATAAGCGAAAAAAAAATAAAAAAGATAATTTGACAATTCTGCTTTGTTAAAACAATTCAGTAAATCTTAAAGAAGTGTTCATGACCTGATCCGGATTTGGATCCATTGTTTTCCAGTGCGGATCCGCATCAAAATTAAATGGATCCTTAGCACTGCACTGATGTCTAACATATATCGGATAAATTTGTTTTCTCAGAGTGCATAAAATCCCAAATAAAGGTGCTACTAGGTCAAAAAGTTGTACTAAAATTTCGCCTAAATTTGACCTTCTGTTTTTATTATTATTCCCATATCAAGAAATTGCAAGGTACCGTTGTGAATCTAGCATTTAACTTGGGAGTCTCTTAATATCGTTATGTTCAGTTAGGAAATAAGGCTCTTATTATTTACTCATGAAAATGTAATAAAAATTTACATTATCTTATACAATCTACATCTGGGAAATATAACTAATAAATTTATATTTGACATATTGTTTGAATATCTAGGTTGTGCTGAGTGAGGAGTCCCAGACCGCTGCTAGTTTGATGGTTGCTCTGCTAGGAATTGGATTGGGATCTGGAGCATTCCTTTCAAACTTTTTCGTTAAACTACTCTAGGAACACGTGGCAAAGACGTGTTCATTGTTCGGCTAAAAACACGTCTTCAGCACATGTTCACAGTTAGGAAAGGAACACGTCTTACAATTTCAACACGAGTTAATTGTTCGGCAAGAAACAGATGTTCATGACACGTGTTCAATGTCGGCTAGGGAACACGTCTTCAACTGGTATTCATTGTTCTGCAAGAAACATGTCTTCAAAAAGAGTTCATTGTTCATGACACATGTTCTATGTCGGCTAGGGAACACGTCTTCAACTCGTATTCTTTGTTCTGCAAGAAACATCAAAAAGAGTTCAATGTTCAGCTAGGAATATGTCTACTGCACGTGTTCATTGGTCGGCAAGAAACACGTTGAAAACATGTGTTCTGCAATAAATGTACGTTCTTAACACGTGTTACATGTTCGACTAGAAGTCCAGCAGATCTATTGGATCTGCCAAAATTGAAAATCTCAAGTGTAAACTTTTTCCTCGTTTATCCATTTTTCTTCACAGGAATGGAAACTTTTTCTTAAAATCCTGGTATAATATTGTCAGAGATCCAGGGCAGGGGTTCCTGATCAATTATTCTGGATTCAGGAAACTAACTTAAAACTGTTTAATCTCCTATGCATGTGAACACTCAACAGAAACTTACAAAATAAAATTAGAAGAAAAAACCAACATATCTAAATGCAAGCCGTACATAAAACTATTCTTTTGACCGTCAAATTGTTGATCTCTTTTTTCCTGTTGGAAATTTCATATTTCTTTATATGTTAAGCCGAAATTTGTTGCTAAATGTTTTTTGGCTATTCTCCGATTTTTAAAAACCTCTTTGTAATCCCCCCCCCCCCTTTATCCTTTTTGTTATCTTTATTGTATATCTTGTAATCTATGTATATTGTACATACTTACATACAATATAGTTTATCTATATTTTGTGTTATGTATACATTAAATGTTACCAGTTCGGATCTGGCCTTAATCTGTGCGTTCATTGTGAACGTTTACTGAAACCAGTTGAATTGTTCCAGTAACTTAAAGTATATTCAATATTTATAAGCGAAAATGTTAATAAATGCAGATGGATGTAAATTATTTTCAAAGAAAATTACTTAGTTTAATAGAAAAAAAATGTTTTTCCACTTAAAGAGGAAATGCTTACTAATTTTGATTAATGCCGCGCACGATATGAGCGCGTTAAATTTTTCTACAACAATTTATATCGAGTAACAGCTGGTCGATTGAGTCGTTAGACTGAAACATTAATGATTATCAGCTCTAGAATTTTCTTCCCAAACTAGTTTTCAAATTTATTAAAGCCTTAAGAAACTATTTTTAAATATCTAACGCGGGTTGCTATCTGAATATTTGCGGTATTTATTATGAAAATTGCAAAATAAACTTTAATTGACCGTAAATAATGCGATTTATCTTGTCTGTTCTTATTCTCTAGGCTACCTATCAATTAACTTGACACAAAATTATCCATATTCAATAAAATTGAAAAAAATGTTCTGAGTAGCAACTTGCGTTGTGGTGCTGCAGTTTTGAAAATCACTAATTTATCTTAAAAAGTAATAATTGCCTAGAATATTAAATGTGTGTGAAATGGAAGATTGAATAGTTATTACTTCAAATAGTCTCATCCTGTGTGGGTAGCCCTGTATGTAGAATGGATTAGAGACATGGGCTCCTACCTTCTTGACAGAGACATGGTTACCCACAAAGAATGAGACTGCAAAGACGACCGGAAATTCTTAATATAAGACGTTTCCAAGTTTAAATTAAGTTTTCTACCTTAAATTTAGTAATTTAATGGCCTATTAAATGATTTGACAAAGAGAAACAAATTTAGAGTTTCAGGGAGTCATGAATACAAAAAAACATTGTATAAACTCACTACTGTCTCTACAGTCTGTGAAGTCTCATCCTTTCTCACCCTGTATTTGAAAATTTAAACTTTCTTTAAAGCCTTAATGATATTGCTTAATCATTCAAGAAGTTGCCTTATTTTCTTCAATTTGAAGCTTTAAAAATATGAAACAATCTAGATCAAGTTATCTGAAAATGCTGGCGCTTCTCGGGACAGGGAAAAAACTATTTTAAACTGCGAAAACAAATTTATTTTAAATTTTATAACCATGAGGGTTTTTTTTGAGAGGAAAACCTTTTATAACGAGATTTTCAGAGCCTAGAGTGGGGCAAACCTAATCTTTAAAGAAATACTTAAGGTTTTTTTTCCCAGGATCAAACCCCTACTCTTAATATTTTTATCACTTTAGAAATACAAATGAAAAGGTCAATATCAATATTATTCTTATTTCTTAAGCAGTCCATTTAAAACTAGGAATAAAGATCTAGGAAAACGTCTGTCAAAATATTATCACAAAAAATGAAATATGAGAAAACTAGTAATATTTATTTAGTCTGCAATAAGGGATTAAAATTTTCAAAAATCCATTTCATGTATTTCATACATAAAAACAGTCGTTATAAAAGAATCTATTTAGCGGTTGGGAACTTGAAGAATGCAGAAGGATCACAAGTATGGAGAAATGAATAATCAATCCTGAACCCTGTATCTGTCCCACCCTGATACAATCCGTCCGTCACCAGGCTGAATCCCTGAAATATAAACAGAGCTGTAAACTTTAGAATTTTGAATATTAGGATTAATGCTTGATCTCCTCTTCTTTTTGATAATCTGCAGATTAGTATAATCTTTATTTTGATAGTGTCTAAAATTCAACCAATCAAGAGCCGGGAAATTTTGCTTACAATCAATCTTGTTGGTTGGAGACCAGCAGGGATATTCATAAGAGAGGATTAAGAATATCAAGTGTCCATAAAGGATATTGAGAGACTAAACGAACGATATTAAGTGTATCCAGTACAGACAATAGTTTACAGTTCTGAATATATAAATAAAAAGAAATCTACAACAAACATACATATAAATTTCGAATATCCAGAGCAAATACATTGAATATCCAGAGCAAATACATTGAATATTGAATATCCAGAGCAAATACATTGAATATTGAATATCTAGAGCTAATATAAAATGTTTGATATTCAGAACAAATATCCAATTTTTTAGAAAATATGTCTTAAATATTGAAAGTTTGTAGGAATTTGATTAAAAAAACTGAATATTTGTAGCAAATGTATGTATAAAATATTAATATATTTGTAAAAAAATATATATAAGTAAAATTTATAATATTTGTAACAAATATGTAAACTACCTGAGGCCCATCGACTGGTAAAATAATTTCCCTGTTAATGGTTGAACCACATATACTGCTCTGTAGACCGTTAAAGGATAGATAATCCTAAAAAATATTGAAATAGTATTATTAATATTAAGAGATTATTTTATTTATTCATCAACTAATTTATTTAGACTTAGTTTTTTTAATCAGACTTAAGGATTTTAAACATTTATAAAATTAACTTTTTTGATTTGGCAAGTTTGTAATATCTGTAAAATTTTACATTTTGGTTTTTTTTTAAATCATAAACACCTAAAAATAGATTTTGAAATTACAATAAATCGTTTTCAAATAAACCCATTGATGCTTAATTAATGTTTTGAATGTCAAATAGTTTTAAAATCATTAGAAAACCATGTACTCTTTTGTACCAACGATAACATTTAAATCTGCAAAATTTAAAGAGAAAATTACATATCTTTAATTAATATCACAGGACATCGTTAAATAATAGGTTATTGCCTACGTTTCCAATAAGGGCATGGGTCTTGATTTATGACTGAGTTGGTCTCACTCAGGTAGTAAGAAATATTTGTCTGATGTACAATTACCGCGTTTACATTAACGTATTCCTTACTCCCAGGTCTCACTATACACTACAATTTAGAAACTAAAGGGACTGTAAGCGTAAATGCAAGGAGGCAATGGCAATGTCCGATTTACAGTGGTACCCTAAAGTGATTTGTCTGATTAAGTATGAATTCGATAAAGATAGTGTCCCTTCTAAAAAGAAACGCTTATTCGGTCGTCTTTGAATGTGCATGCTCAGTTCAACAGTTTATATTATATACTACAGGGTGTCCCGCATCAAATTAGACCGTGTCAATGGGTCTAAGATACGAGTTGGGGGACAAATCAGAAAATACAAGTACGATGAATCATTTTGAAAAATTTGATAAGACTAATAGAAATTTTTTTTTTGCAGAGAGTGCTAGATTTCTAGAGTATTATGTGCGTATTTTGGCGTCAAAGATTGGAGATGATCTAATATGATACGGGACGCTCTGTACCAAATAAGCATTCCATAGAAAAAAACCTTAAACCAAAAAAAACTGAATGTCGTCTTCTACAAACCTGACACGTGAGCCCGTATCCTAACTGGGGTTTATTATCCTTCTTGTTTCGGACAGAACCAATACTCATCTCCTTTATCAAGTATCTAAATATACAAAAATTAGCTTAGCTTGGGAATTCAAAACTTTATTTTAAATCTAGACATCACCAACACATTCTTAGGTCTGACTATCTAATATTTTTATATCAATATATATCCTGAACTGACACTCAGTATTTTTTCAAAGTTTGGTTGAGATTACTCTATACCTGTTTTAACTTAAAGGGACTATAAGCGTAATTTTAAGCACACTTAAGACTTCAATCTGATAACAAATGTGGAAGATATCGTCGTTTTCCTCACTCGGAAAGTATTAAGTTCTGATAATTTCTCCATTGCTTAGTCTATGAAAGAAATGCGCAAGTTACTTTTGCAGTGAACCGCAAATTATGACAGTGTAAGGAAATATCTTTTTAATATTTGATCAGGAAAAGTTTTCAAGGGTGCCGTTGTAAATTGGGCACAGTCATCTTTGCTTGGAGAGTCACTTTAAATTTCGCTTACAGTCCCTTTAACAAAGAACTTCAGTTTTTGCCACAAACTTTGATTTGCTAACCCCTATATGTCTTAACAAACCAATGTCGCCGACTTTAGATTTTTTAAACTATAAATTCTGTTAGATTAAATAATCTAAATATTAAAGATTTACACTATCAGGTTGTAAAGATGTAGTGATTGAAAAATTCGAGTTTGTGGTAAAGAATCAATTTCTTTTTTAGAAATTTATTTAGGATAATTTTTTGGGGGGCTTTGTTCCAACATTCTGACTTAGCTGCACATCTAGGAATAGCTAAACTAAAATTAGCAACAAGTGTGAAAAAGGGACGAACTATCTACACCTCCCCCCCTGATTGCACAAGCTGACGGATCTGGTTTGATGCAGAGACTCATCTTGATATTGTTCTGATAGTTCATGTCGTTGATGTTCATACTGGTCAGGTTCCCGGACACACTGTTGTACCACTGACTACAACCTTCAAACAATAGTAATTTATTTTACTAAAAAAAATGCTAATACAAAAGGCAAACTTGTTGCGTCAAATGAGAAAGTTTACCCGTCTTTCAAGTCTAGCTGTAATGGAAAGTAGCACTTTCTGTAATTACGCAAATTTCTTAGGTATAATTTGCGGAAATTCACAAGTTTGTTAATTATATAAAAATTTTATTATTGAACATCTTGCTAAAGAGTATTGGAGCAGAGGGAGGGAACAGCTATTGGGACCAGGGCAGCTCCCACATTTGCAAACCTATTTATGGGTTGGTGGGAGAACAAGATGCAGCAAGAATGGACTGGAACTGCATTAGAGTTTTACAGAAGATTTATTGATGACTTGTTTTTTCTCTGGTTGGATCTAGAGAGGAGTTGGAAAAGTTCATTATCTATGTGAACTCTATTTTCCCAAACATCAAGTTGACAGCTGAATATAGTTATGAAACCAGGTCTGTGAATTATTTAGATATGAAGATATTTATTGATGACCAAGGCTATATACGTACAGATCTATACAAGAAGGAAAACAAGAAGAATAACTATCTTCTTCCTTCCAGCTGTCATCCTAACCATATAACTAAGAATATACCGTTCTCACTGGGATACAGCACTCAGAATCTGCTGGAGTGAAGAGTTATTAGAGAAAAGACTAGAAGAACTGGAAGAAGATTTGGTTGAGAGAGGATACAGGAGAAGATCCATTAAATCTTCCTTCATGGATGTGAGGAAGATAAGAAGAGAGCAGGCACTGAAGAAGGTTGTGAGTAGCAGGGTAGAGAATGATAGAACCAGGTTTATTGTCAAATATGACCCTAGACTGCCTAGGTTCTCTGAAACTCTAAGATCATCCTGGAAGACTCTAATAGAAGATCCAGTAATGAAGAAAATCTACCCCTCTCCTATGGTATGCTACCAGAGTGGAGAATTTGAAGGATCTCTTGGTTAAGTCTAAACTTCCAAGTAGACAGGGATTCACAAAGGAAAAAAGAGATAAGGTTGGGTTTAAACCCTGTAATAAATCTCGCTGCCCTGTATGTGAACAGATGGGAAAGAATTCTGTTGAAGAGGTGATAATCTCGGCTACTGGAGAAAAGATGAGGATTAAGGATAAGCTGATCTGCTCCTCCTCAAATATTATTTACATGATTACATGTAGGAGAGGAGGCCGAGTTTGTCCTTCCCATCCTCAATATATAGGAGAGACAGGGAAGGAGGCTAAAGAAAGGCTGAGGGGTCACAGAGGCACCATTACACGGCTAGGACAAGAAAATACCCAGGCCCCTGTAGGTGTACACTTTCGTGCCCCTGGCCACTCCTATGCAGATTTATCCTTCATTCCTATAGAGAAGATCAGGTCCAGGGATAGCATGGTCAGGAAGGTCAGGGAGTCATACTACATCCAGAAATTTAACTCAGTGAGGTCAGGACTGAACAAGAAAACATAATGCTATATGCAATATTTTTTTTAAAAAGAATGAATTTTGTTTGTTTTAAACTGTATGTATATGTATTACCAACAGTACCTTATAGTGTTGATCGAATTCATGTATTTGACCGTTTTGTCGACGAATTCTAACCCCTTCAACACTCCCCCCTTCCCCCACTGCATACGCCCATAAACTAGTCAATCCTTTTCCAGTCATTCAATACTCGTCAAAAGAGTAAGGTACGGTTTTCTAATTTTTCTTTTAAGTTTTATGTGTTTTGACAATATTCATTTTGAAAAATTCCATTTTACATAAAAAGATTTTTATTTTTGTTCTCTTCTTTGTTTATTTTAGTTGCTGTGTTTGTATTTTGTATTTTTATTTTTTGCTTATATCTGTTATATTATAGGACAAACTCCTGATGATGCCAAAGTTTTTGGCGAAATATATTGAGAAGAAAATGATATAATTCTAGTGCTAGAGAGTAGGGTTGGGATTTGTTTAAAAACGATCTAAAGTATTGGAGCATAAGACAACGTTTCTAACTATTCTATTGATTTCAGAAATTTGGGCAAGTTATATCTAATTTTGCATTTTAAAAATTAATCACAACTTTTAACTTTCGAGTGAAAATTTTCTTGTGGCGTTTCAATTAAATAAACGATTGCGTGCAGATAAGTTGAGAAAGCGTAATAAAATCCTACCAGAGGGTGCTTGAAGAGGAGCTCCATCACATTCAATCTGAGATAATCGGATATTCCATCTAAACAATTCTATAGCTTAAAATAAAAAACAAGAAAAGGGGTCGAGCAGCGGGGCCTTGAATGGTGAAGCTCTCATCTGCCATGTTTAGTTAATCTCTCATAAGATCAGTGTAGGATTTTGAAAGGGAGTGACTGGTACTGAGAAGTTAGAATACTGCACTATCAGTTCAACTACAGTAACTAGCCAGTCACTCCCTTTAACGGCAATATTAAGTCAGCAAAAATATTCGTTGACGTTAGTTATGTATTAAACGTGAATTCCTGTTTTACGTCCAATATCGAGCAAATTAAAAAAAATTCTTTTCGATCAAATTTAATGTAAAAAGTACCATACCTGGAAGGAAAGTTTTTGACCTTAACCTTTAGGTCAACCCATGGCTTTGGAACATTAGGGGGTGAAACATATTTCGAGTCCAGAGGTATTTCATCCATGTGAATGTAAAGATGACTTAAGTCTGTTCTAGTCGGATCCTAGAAATAAAATGACTGTAGTTTTTGTCTCCAAGTTCCACTTTAAAGGAACTACCCGTTTTAAGTTACCCTGCATGCAAAGATGACAATGCCCGATTTACAACGGTACCCTTAAAAGCTTTGTCTAAAGTATGAATTATATATCCATGTTTTTGTTATTTTCAACTGTTTATTTTTGATTTGTCTGCTAGAGTTTCTTGGATTTCTTGCTTATAAATAAAAATGGGAGAAATTTATAGAAATAAACGCTTTGAGTGAGAAAAACGACGTTATTCTCTGAAAAATCTAAACTATTATTTAGGACAAACTAAGGCATGAAAGGAGAAGGCTGAATCAGTGTGATCCACTGAGGAACTTGATACATGCAGGATGATTAAATAATCAAGAACATTACCTTTATTCTGTAAATCTACGAGTTTAAAAAAATATCAAAATGTAATTTTAATCTGTATTTTAAGTGAGATAACATGTAAACCAGATTTATCAAGCTTTAAAAGAAAACTAATATTGTCGCATTTTAATGCATAAACCTTGTAAACAAATATTTAATCCCAAGTTTTCACTCAAAATATAACTATCATCATGTTGCAAATGATCAAATAACATCCAATGTACATATTAGTTATCAAAACTTCAAGCAGAGATCAAATAAAGGATTAATAGTTCATTAATTGTGTTGCAGTTGTTTAATCCAGTTGATCATCATGAGTGATCAGTATATAACCAGGAGTTCTTGAGGCTCCAAAAGAGGCTGTGGTTGTCTCATAAGCAGAAGCAGGTTAATATACAGAACTAATCGAAATGTGTTCATAAATGGAGAAGATAATTGACATTGAAAGGTGATTTCAACTGACTGATCTTTAGATGCGTACAGGATTGATACCGAGATATCTAAACCTGAACGTCCTATCTACAGTTTGATGATTAACTTTATCCTGCATCTTATATTCACCCGTCTACAAAGATCTTACGGTGATCTACAGCACACAGCTAGTCTGTAAGACCTCCTAGGTATTGTTTAAATCCAACTTGAGTTAAACGTTGGATTAGTAATAACTCCTAAGTAGGCTAAAAGAATTTGAGCACGACTCCATGTTTTTTTAAAACTATTAATGTGCTCTTGACTCTTGAGGGATTGTACCTAGATCAACTCCTGAAGGTGAATATCACTCCTGATATTTCAATAATTATTCTTTGAAGAATAAGATAGTTCATCCTACGGAATCAAGGAAGAATTGCAGTCCACAGTGTTCACAGAACACACTTAAAAGGTTATTATCTAATAAACCTAATAAACATCAACTCTGTAATATCCACAATGAAAACTAGTTGCTTTACAGTCTTTTCCATTCGCAGGAGAAATTGAGCTGTTTATACAGAGAACGTATATATATTGGAGAACTTAAACTGATTAACCCCCAACAGAGGATATTTTGATCAGCGTGTGTGAGAGAAAACCAAACCGCCATCCCTTGCTTACATTCATAAGTCACGTTTATTGTTTCAGGAAAACTAGCTCAATATGAAAGAAAATTTATTTTCAGATAGAAAACCAAGGATACGTCACTCATTCTTCAGGCAAAGGTTTAAAAGGTACCTTAATAAATCTAACATGTCACTCTAGATGAATAAAGGACACTTGAATTCACGTAGACAGTCCCTCAAAGAAGAAGTTTTACAAATCTTATTGGAATAAAAAAACTATAATACCTCGTCTTCGTCATGCACTTTGCCGCAAACATTTTTCAGTGGAATAAACGCTTGCTTCCGTGGACTGCTGATATAAATCTGGTTTTCGGGATCACAAAATCCATTCTATAAGAAAACAAGGTATTTTCCAACATTTAAAACTTGAGTTAAATATTCAGATTTTTAAGGAAACTACCGTTATGGGTTTGAGGGTTAGGTCTACAAAATCTATTCTAAGCTGACAAACTCCAGGCAATAAACTGAAAAATATGAAAATTAAATCTTAGTTTTTATTCATAGTTATTTTCACTAACCTGACTCTAAAATGGCATTCTTCCGAGTTATTTATGTATTTAGGATACCCAGGGTTCTTAAAGTAGGTAACCTCCCTGTTGGTTTCAAACCCACAAAAAGATGGATAAATGCAGCATACTCTTTAAACCATGCAATAATTGTAGATTTCAAATAATTAAATTTAAAATTTTCAACTGCTAAAAAGTTGTGCATATTTCACTAACATTCTAGCAAAAAATGTTTATATTTTTGTGTAAATCCTATTCTACCAGAAGACAAAGATCATTAAGAAGAAACAAGATGATGATGATAAGACAAAAATGATGAAGATGAAACGAAGTTATCAGAGAATGAAAGTGATTTGAATGACCTAGAGACTGAGAATGATGCGTCCCACAATGAACTATTTCCTTATAATAATTGTTAGGACGTCATGCACCCCTATACCCCCGGGCAATTAAAAAGTACCTAGTTTTTAGATTTCAGCAATCAGAACAAACTTTAGATCATTATGCCTATTAGAACAACAATTAGCGCAATTAAATAGTGCCTAGTTTTAACTTCCGCCAATCAGATCAAATTTTAAGTAATTATATCAATCTTAGGACAATTAAAGCAATTACGCAAATAAAATCTAGTTCAGAATTGTTTCATCTTTGGAGATAAATCTGGAAATGCAAATATCTGGTAGAACAGAAAGATTGGAAATTGAATAGTTAGTAGATATTGATTGAATCTCTTGAATCTCTTACAAAGTCTTTTAAAAAAAGAAATTTACAAAAATTGCATAATTTCCTGCTCTTAGCTGATCCAACCATCCCCTGGTGGCATTGTCCATTGACAACTCCATTGGTATAACCGCACATCTCAGCAGATTGACATTCTCCGAGTTCACCATCAGTCGTAATACATTCCTCTTTGGACATATCTGGTCGGAAAGGAACTGCAGGATATGGTTGCACTATTGACTGTTGCCATTTGTTTGGTATATTTGGATCTGTTGTGAAAGGATTTTTTTGATATTCAGAAACTTGATTTTTGGTCGGTTGCTGGACATTTCCAAATCTTTGTGTGAACAAAGATAGGTCATTTTCATTTAAAATGTCCTCGTACCAGGGCCTCGCTGCATTTGAACCAGGCTGACCGGGCTGCTGAGAAAATGGGTTTTGTACTGAGGGAGAATATCTAGAAGGATCAGTTGGGTAGTAGTTCTGATACCATTGATCAACCAGATTTTCCTGGAACTGCCCGTCTTCTAGAGATTGGGGTGAAACTAAACTTGCTGGTGCTCCTTTAGAAGCAGGGACTGCTGGAAATCTTTGTGCTGGAGACACAGGTGGATATTGAGGCATCGACAGAGGTGGATATTGACCAGGATATTGAATAGCTGGTGGTGGTTGTTGAGAAGGTGTGGGTCCAGTGAGAGCTGACATTGCTTGTTGCTGTCCAAAGAATTGAGGATATGCTGCCTGTGTAGAGTAATATGGATAGCTTATTGGCAGCTGGGACTGTTTTGAATTTTCTTGTGTTCCTGAAACAAACAAACTGAAATTAAATATTTGCATAAAATTGATTGGATTCTGGCTTAGACTGGAAACGATCTTCAAAATCAAGCAATAAACACACTCAAGTAAAAGTACCTTTAGGTATTTGATTGTCAGCATATGAAGGATTTGTTGGATATGGATACCAGGGACCAAACTGATCATAGGGGTATGCTGCAGCTACAGGGGAGGAGCCAAGTTGAGTTTGAACAGGGCTCACTGGTTTGGCAGGGTTCAGGGCTGGTCTGGGTTGAAAAGGTTGTTGCATATTACCAGGTTGATTAGGATTGCCAGGTTGGTTTGGATTGCCAGGTTGGTTTGGATTGCCAGGTTGATTAGGATTGCCAGGTTGATTAGGATTGCCAGGTTGGTTTGGATTACCAGCCTGACTTGATTGAGCAGGTGGACGAGGTTGGCCAGGTTGAACTAATTGAGGATTGCTTCCTTGTTGTCCATTTAATCCCGACTGCCCATTTAATCCTGACGGTCCCTTTTGCCCAGATTGAACATTAAATCCAGATGGTCCCGTTAAACCAGGAGCTTTGTTATTACCCTCTTGGGCCGGGGGTGCAGGCATTGGACCTCCACCAACCAGAGATCTTAAAACACATTTTATACTAATTGCTTTATTTTAGACAGAAGCAGCGAAGAGGAAGGAAGCGGGGAAATACCCATCCCCAACCTCTACACCACCCCTGCAAAAAAACTGGAGGGGGGGGGGGGGGTGATGTTTGCCTAGTGTGCATTTAAAAAAAAATTTGAACTACCTTACTTTGAAGGATATTTTGAGCTACCCCTGAATCTGACCTTATAATTAACAAGTTTTTAGTTGGCTTACCCAAAATTGTCCAATGTAAAGAAAGCTTTGGTTTCTTTACCACCATTAGGTTCACTGGCTTTAATCTCAAAGGTAGTTGCTTGTGCTGGAGCTCGGGCATTGGGAAGGTCAGGTCCAAATCCTAATCAATGAAAGCAGATTTATTAGAAACAGTTTTTATAATGATCATATGAGTTCCATTCCCACCTTCCCCTTAAGATGAATCACAATAATCTGTAAATAAATAAATATCTAAATAGATTTTATATTTTCCCACAAAAGTTATTGTTGGATAGGAAGACGACTTCTAAGACATGAAAAAAATATCAAAATATAAGATTTTTAAATTTCGTCTTAATATTTCAGTCTGAAGCAAGGTTTTAAAATAAGGTTAGTTACTCTCGATGGGCTCCAGTGTACGGAAAATGTCGTCTCCTAAGATAGATAGATAAATACCCAATATGACGTCATATTGGGTATTTATCTATTCATCTTAGGAGATGACATTTTTCATACATTGGAGCGCATCGAGAGTAACTAACCTTATTTTACAACCTTGGTCTGAAGGGTCATTATGTAGAAAGGTGTAGCTCCGACCTGTGTTAAAACTGTTTGGCCACTGTCCCATGCTTCCTTGATCCAGGATTACCGCTAGAACTATCAATGCTGTTAACCCCCATTGTATCATTCTCCTTTAGTACAAGCAACATATTTATTTAATATTAGCGAGAATTTAATTGGCTTTCAGGGACTGAGCATAATTTCAAGTGACCCTCAGTGCAAAGATGGCAAATTCCCAATTTAACATTACCCTTAAAAACATATCTGATCAACCTATAAATTAGATACCAAACCAATATAGATAATTGTTGCTTCTCTACAGAAGTGACTTGCGCATTTCTGCTGCAGGAAATAATGTATTATCTCGATTTAATACTATTGAAATAAGTAAAACGACAATATCTTCATCATTATTGAGAAGATAAAGGTGTCAAGGATACCATTGTGAATCGGGTATGTTTGAAGATTTCAATTATTCTGTGCCTGTGCTGCCTGACAGACTTGACTGACCAAAGCTGGGAACTTATGTGTAGGATGCTTGATCTCGATATTCACTGGGGATACTTTCAATTGAGGATCTTTGTAAAACCTTGCCTTTCCTTCTCTTCATTATAGTTATTCCTCTCCTGACCAAAAAGCTCCCTTAAACCCCTGACTGTACGATTACTATGCGGGATAACAAATGAAGACAATTAGCAGATTTGGTTTCTTCAAATACTATATTAAAGGGACTGAAAGCTTAATTTCAAGTGAACCTTCTCTTATAGAGTGGTTTTTCCGATTCATGACGGTATACCCTTGTAAGCTTTACATCTTTTCAAGAAGAATGAGACTTTCATGTTCTTAACACTGAAAATTGGTTATTTTAATTGTGGTTAAAATAACTCTGCCACAGGAACAATGGGGGAAATTTTCATGATTTTTTTTTTAACAATTTTGAAATAAAATTTTTTAATATTTTTAAAAGTGCAGTGAATTTTTTTCTCAGATTGTTGGGTTTTCTTTTTAGCTGATCATACATCTGTTTTCTGTTCCTCTCTTTTAGATCCGATTTAAAGGAAAAATGCATTTTGACACACATTTCCGATTTTCTTTCTCCCTAATATTACGCAAATTACTATTTATTTTCCATGCAGACTGCAGAGGTTTCAAATTTCTGTGACATTGAGGAGTGATGAATCAGCTTTTTCATCCAGCTATTGTTCATATTAATTATACATATATTCTTACAGGTTCTGGTCGGAAAAATTAAAGTCACTGCTAAGCAGGGTTTGAAAATTCTGAGGATTCATTGTCAGAATTCTACATTGATAACAAGTGGGATAAGAAAGGAAGAAAGATTTGGCAAGGAGTGGATATTTTTGATTCTTTTTTAAGTTCCTCTCGGACAGTGCTTCAGAATACAGCCGGCAGAGTATAAACTGGTATCATAGTGAACAGTGCACAACCAATCAGGATTCTACTTCTATGTTTCCATTTTCCTTGTTTCTTACAAGAGGGAGAGGTAAGAAAATCATAGAGAAACCCCTCCTTCTCTGCACTATTATTTTCTTTTTTTCCAAATAGGGTGTACTGCCCTGTTTTATTCCACACAGGGTTCTGTTCAGCCGCAAGAAACTGGAGAGAGTTGCATAAGAACCTGACTGTTTTGAGCTTCCTTGATGCTTACTGCACATAGATTCAATCGAAAGAATTAACATGTTTCCAATGAGTTTGGAAACTTAAAAACAGCTACCCAGGCTTATTATTAAGGAGTATATTTAAAGCTGTCAGTTGCAAAATCCAGTAGGTAAAAACCCTCCATTCTCCAGATTAATATAGTTTTAAAAGACGAATGCAGGCCTTTAATATCACTTGCATAGTTCCATTTTCTCTTTTCCAATTGTGTGCTGGGGTGTAACACATCAAGCTGGTAATTAATCATATAAAGAATATCAGAAATACCCCTCTTTAATTCAAAGTCACTAAAAACAAAAAAGTTAAGAAACATTGGATATTTAGGCTGTTTGACAGATAATAAATGGAAGATATGCGAGATACTATATGAAAAAATGTGAGATAACATATGGAAATATGTGGGTAATTTTCTAGAGAACAAATTTTGGACCCCCCCCCTCCTATCAATTTTGTACATGAATCTTATATTTATTTCATGTATTAAGCTGGTCATGCGGCTGCAGAGCCCGGCCCCCTAGCCTCAGCGCTCAGCCCCATAACCTGTCCTAGCCGCAGTGCTCGGCCCCTTAGCCTGTCCTAGGGGGCCGAGAACTTGGCCCAGAAAGCGTCTTAACCTAACCTAACCTTAAATACATACTTATTTTGATGAAAATTGTTGAAATTGAAGGCCTGTTCCGGCCGCAGCGCTCAGCCTAGAAATTGTCCAAACCTAACCTAACCCTGAAATAATACAAAATAAATATTTTTTTGTTGAAATCTAGGTCATGTAAAAAACTGATAGGCGGGGGGGGGGGGCCAAAAATGGTTCTCTAGGACACACCCAATATGTGAGATAATATATGAAAATATGCGAGATAATACATGAAAATATGTGAGATAATATATGAAAATATGCGAGATGATATATGAAAATATGTGAGATAATATATGAAAATATGCGAGATAATACATGAAAATATGTGAGATAATGTATGAAAATATGCGATATGAAAATATGTGAGATAATATATGAAAAAATGTAAGATAATATATAAAAATATGTGAGATAATACATGAAAATATGTGAGATAATATATGAAAATATGCGAATGAAAATATGCGAGATAATACATGAAAATATGTGAGATAATACATGAAAAAATGTGAGATAATATATGAAAATAAAATGAAAAATATAATTTAAAAAATGTATTAATAGTCTTATTCGATTATATTGCAGTAGCATGGTGAAATTAACAATCATTGAGATTCGAGTTTATCAGGTTTTGTTATATTGCACTGCTTAAAATAATTTTTAATTTATCCAACGCTGAAGAGTTAAGAAAGGCGTAAATAAGTATTTTTAATCAAGTTTGGGGGGGGGGGGGACTTTCATTGTTAGGAAATGTAGAAATTATATTTTTACTTTTTCACCCTCCTATAATATTAACTTTGTATTTAAACTATCAGAAGATTTATGTTTGAATTTATAAATTTTTTACTATGCACTCACTACACGTCTGTCTTTTAACTAACAAAAACGTTTTCATTAGAACTGGTTTGTAACCGTCATCTTTTAGTACAATTGTACAGTGGAATTGGGAATCATAGAATATTAACATGTATAGATCAGACAAATATGTAAATAATTTGATTTGTTTAAGTCAAACAGGTTGGTTTTGCACGGGGTTTTCGCTATATGTAACCCAAAAATATTTCATAATCCACTAAATTTACATTTTTTCTGTTTAATTGTAGAACAAGGTTTATCTCGTTTTTTACTCATCCAGATAATAGATCACCACTCATTATGAAACATGTTACAAATTATAGCATTGTCCGTTCTAAATTCTTTCTATTTTCTGAGAACATTCTACAGTACATTTTTACATATTTTTGTATATTTGATGTGCACAGTAACCTTGGGTCCAAGGAGTGGAAACTGTAATCTTAAATTGATTTATTTACATAATATAGTGGGGCAATCTTACTTTATCATTTTTCCGACCCACCTCACAGTTTTATTTCAAAATTTCTGTTTTTGTAATAATAATATAATTTTTTCATAATTTCCTAAAGTTTGAAAATCTACGATTTTACCATCAGGTGCAAGTTCAACCATTGAAAGCTTAATTAAGTCGACCAATTTATCTAATCCAATTTTTTTTTATTAGATCTTAGATCTTAAAAACAATTAAAAGGATGGGGGAGGGGGGGCGTTTTGCACGCCCCCACCCCTCTAGTTTTTCCTAAGGCATTCTCTATTTTGTAAAAAACATTTGAAAATTTAATGTCAGATCTTTTTTTACATGAACATATGTATATGCATAGGGTGCTATTTAGTTTCAACTACTGCCGTTTGAACTATATTGACTTTTTAAACTATTTTTCTGTTCATTTGAACTAATTGAAAAAATAGTTCAATTGAGCCTAAAAATATATATAGTTTAAATAAGTAAACAAAATAGCGCTTGGCCCATAAATTGTTCTAACCTAACGTAACCCTGAAATAACACAAAATAATTATTTTTTTTGTTGAAAATAGTTGAAATTTAGGCCATGTACAAAATTTATAGGAAGGGGGGGGTTCCAAAAATTGTATACCCAATAGTAGTTCAAATGAGCAAAACAATAGTTCAAATAAGCCACAAAAAAAACATATTTTAAATGGAGCAAAAAATAGATCAAATGAACAAATATATATATATATATATAGCTCTAAAATCAGGTTGACGAATAAATGCCGCAAATTATTTCAAATATCAAAGACGACCTTCAATTCGCCTTGCTACTGTCATGTTTTTAATGGGACACTCTAATAATGATAAAGTGTATAGAAAAAAGTTTTACGAATTATGAGCAATTTTCATTATTTAGTGTACTATAGAGGTACCTTCTAGTCCTCTAGTCCTTATTTATTTTCAAAAATGACAATGAAACTGGGCACATATATTAATATTCTTTTAGTTTTTATTATCGTTCTCAGTTTAAATGTTTTTTGTGCGAGAAAAATTTTATATCTTAATAAATTTTTAACAAGTTTGGAGGAGAAAGTATATTTAAAAAATTAAATTATTAATATCCTATGAAAAAAATACCATAAAAAAATCAATTGTTAGAAAATATTTCATTATTGAATTTTCCATTTAGATTGTCCTTTCATATCATTAACGATTTCCAAGCTGGTTTAAAGATTAGGAGTTTGTATGGTTGATTCTGTACAAAGAGAATAGAATATATATTAGAGTGGAATTTCCCAGAAAAAAGTGTAAAACGGCCATATTGTTATACTGTTCCCATACTGCAGGTGTACTTACCATATTTGTTCTATATAGCCTTTTGGGCCCTGGAACATCATTTTATAGAAAATCTAAAATTAATTTTAAGAGAAAACCAAATTATGAAATAGGCTGGTTTCATAATTGACCAATGATCATTTCACATAGACTCTATGCCTTTCACTTTACAAACGATGATTTTCCGTTATACCTATAAATCAAATGATGTTTTTTAATCACATAATTCATTTTATAAAGTTTATTTAACAGCTTTAAAAAATTCTAAATCGAATTGGATAGTCTAGGGAACATATTGTATTAATGTACTCTACTGCATATAATTTGTGAACATTTACATGATTTTTACACTTTAAACTCCTTTTAAGGTTGAAAGGGACTGAGAAAATTCATACCGAGGGATTCTCTAAATTCCACTCTAATATATATTCTATTCTCTTTGATTCTGTACCTCTATGCATGCAGCATGAACACTCTCGGAGCGCATGATATTTGCAAGGCTGGAATAAAGCAAGGCAGTGCAGTATACAATTCATTCATTCAGGGGGAAAATGTCTTCTTCCAGAATAATTATAAAAAAAAACATTTTAGATAAAAAAAATTTTCACAGATTTAAATGTTTCTTATTATTTAGTTTATATTGTCCCATTTATTAAAAACTTTAATTTCTTACTTTTTATATAACCTGGGGAATTGAAGTGAGGGGACTAGAGGGTGTCTCTCAGTGGAGATATAAATTTTTTATTACTAAATATACATTAAATACCTGAGGCCAAATTTAAAGAATTTGAGCCGCGGCTTAAATCCGCCAAAAGCCGGTTTAAATTAAGCGCCGGCTTTAATCTTGAAACATTTGATACAATTTTAAGTGGAACCAACCATATTTAAGCCGCCGCTCAAATTCTTTAAATTCGGCCTCTGATGTTGTAAACAGTGTGCACCGTGATGAAAAGGTTGCAAACTCTACTAACGCTAAAACGGTTGTAGATTAGAAACTAAAGCTAAAATAGTTATAAAATGTGCAACGGTAGGCTATAAATCACAAGTGAACTAGTTAGTTGGTCAATATCAAAGGCCATGGCGTTGCAACACTTCAAAGTTGACCCGGTCTTGAAAATTGATGCAACCTTTAAACAGTCTGGATCTATGTGTGGGCAGTAGAAGCACCCCCACATGACAGTTGACGAACATATAATGGAGATGGAAGTGGACTAGAGAGTTAGGCTAGTTTTCCAGTAGATTTGGTTGTAAATCTACCATACTTTATACTACAGTGATAACCAGAAAACTGGGGAATAGGAAGACGACATAAAAGAATTACTGTTACGAATGTTGTTACGAAACAAATAACTTTACTGGTAAGTTATCAAATCATATTTTACGCGAAATGGGTCTGTTTACACTGCACAATTGTGTCTTATGTTCACATGGATTATTGAAAGTCATAACTTTAGTTTAAAAGTCGACTTTCTATTCTGCAGAGTTTTCTGGTTATCACTGTAAAACACAATCCAAATTAATTGAGAAAAAGAATAACAATTTAGATTAATATATATTTCATTTTTTAAACATCAATACTTTAACAATAGCATGTAAATATTTTATATTTATACAATGTTTCTGACAGAGATTTTGATTTGATACAAAAGAGGTTAATATTTAATCCTTGTTTTTATAAGAACTAATTGTTTAAAAAGTTTTCTCGTTTCTGGTACTTTGATTATTATTTGAGAATTAAATAAATAAAAGAGGAAAACCACTGAAGCAACCAAATAAAGGATAAATTATCAGAATAATTTAAGTGTATTTCAACTTTTATACATAAATAGACCCGTAAAATCCGTTAATATCTTCTTTAAACACGCTTTTGTATAATGTAAATAAATAGCATTGTTTTTAGTTTGTACTCATGCATACAAAAATATTAAAATTTTAAATACATTTATCTTTACAGAAATGAAGCTGTTTCAGCTTCGGATGATAATTGTTGAATTTCGCGCAAGTATGAGATTACGACGACACATAATTTTGATTATTTATTTATTGATTATTAACAACAATTGATGTAGAATTGAACTTCAGAAGCTGTTGGAACTCAGCATCTAAAAATAATTTGGTTTATGTCTTAATTCTTACAAAATATACTTTATTAACAAGGAAGAAAGCATTTTTTGGGAGTTTTTGTTGTTAAAATCACAAAACTGAACTTAAATTTGGTGAGCTGGACTTAAGTGGTATTTTACCTGATAGGAAACCTGAAGAATCTAAAGTCAGTAAGAGTGGAGGCTCAGGAGAACTCAAACTAAAAATATTCAAAACATGAAAAAGATTATAGTTATGGTAATTCTTCTTTTATGAAGTATCAAAAAAAATCTTTAATATGTGACTTTTCTAGAAAGCTAATTGTGAAGGATAAAATTTAAGGGAGAACCGTTTAACTTATTTAAAAATAATTATAAAAAACTCCTACCTCTCCATCAAGCTATGTAGGTCGCCCTCATCATCTATTGAATTCTGGAAGGTCCAATGTTTCTCTAGACAAAAAAATGTCGGCTCAGATCGTCTTGTCTAATGTGTGTTTGTGATTATGTTTACAGTGTTTGAAAATGTTGATGAAGAGTGCTAGTTAAGTATTAATCTACAGTGATTGAAGGCATCTACCTGCTTTTGTATTAAACTCTTCTCCACATAGAACCATCTCTTTATTCCCCAGGTTGAAAACAGGGTCAAACCCTGGCAGCTTCATATGTGCAGTGTTGGCAAAATCATCATCAATGGTAAGAATGGCGGGATCTTCAGGACCTGTCATCGTCAGGTTCAAGGGAGAAGCACGCTCTGACTTCGGGGAGAGCATATGGTCGTTGTGATCGTGAATAATCAGCTCGTTCTCTGAGCTGACTGGGGAGCTAGTGATGGTTTCAAGGCGAGGTCGTTTAAAGGCAATTTGGTGTTCAGATTCCATTTTCATTTTCTTCTTCTTGCTTCCAGGTTTTGCTCGTTCAGCAGGTTCACGAACTTCACAAGCATCATCTGCGTCCAGATGATTATCACAGTAAAGACAGAGGCCGGGGTGTTCAGTGTATGTAAAATAAAAAGCATTGTTTGCAATCTGACCATCCCCTGATCTTCTTAAAGTCAGTTTAATCTTGATGTTTGGATTAAGTTTGAAAAGATTTGGTTGAGCTGGTGTTAGGAAAATAATTGTATTCTTTCGGATGCTCATCGTTCTTGGTTGAGAGGGGTGTTGTTGTTCAGGTTGATGGAGTAAGTGTTCAAGTTCTAATGCTCGTCTTGACCCATCCCACAGCTGGAATACAGGTAGGGTTCCCTCTGCTAAATCATACTCAGAGATCATCATAACCTTCCTCCCTCCTCTGCTGCAGCTCTTTAAGGGATTGACATCATGAATTTCCAGAGCTCCGATATCCTTACTCCCAATATCTATGATGGAATGTTTGGACTCATCCGAGCAGACTTCCACCCACTTTTCACACTTCTTGGCATAAAATCTGACTTTCAAATTCACTTTTTTCATAAAATTCGGGTTTTTAAACAATTTGCACATTTCTGCAATTTTAGATTTGTTCTTCTGAGTTGCTCGATTGTGCAGAACTCGACCAACTGTTGCGTCCTCAGAATGTGCGTCTTTAGCACGTGCATCTTGTTTGGGTGTTAAAATCACCATATTTAATTGACCTCGCTTCCCTCCCAGACAAATTTCATTATTGTCTAAATCTGTAATATAATCCTCTTTCGGCACATTTCTGCTCGTGCCGTCATTGTTTACATCCAACCCTGAGATCTTGTTTTGAATATAAACCTTTCCATTCTTTATTATAAACTCTAGTTTCCAATGGTGACTGTTCGGGACGGGTTCCTTCTCCTGTTCCCTCTTACCCTTCCCTATCTTTACCAGGTGGAGGATAAGAGGATGCATGTTCTTAATCAGATCCGGCACGTTTCCCACAGGAGATGTTTCAATGCTGAACTTTTCAATTTTGAGGTTGGGAGGGATAAAAATAGATCCATCAATGTAACCACCTTTGGTCTGAGCATGTGCTTTAGGGTTCCACTCCGAGCCGTAGCGGAATAGACTTTGCCGGGTATCCAAGTGTATCGACATCCTAAAAAAAACAATTTGTCAAAGAGTGGCAAGGTAAACTTTCGAACAGCTTTAAAGGAAAGATTGCAATTTATTTTTAGCTCAAAAAAAAAACTTTACGTGTAATAATTCTTAAGTCACCTGAAAAATGTCTATTTTTCTCAAAAGATTTTTAAGTGCAAGTTGTGTTGTGTTTCTCTTCAGAAGATTCAATTGGAACTGGCCCTCGGCCTCCTAGAGCGTTCTTAATCTTAAAGACTGAACGACTGTTTTCAGCGCTCCTGAGCTTTCCATTAACCCCCCCCGTATTATCTAGTTGATATGAAAACATGATTAAACTGGTCTTTTATCCTGCTAATAGTTTGCTAATATTACATAGTAAAATTCTAATATTCTAGATGATATATGATTAATTAGAATGGCTTTATTTATATTTTATCATGCCATTGATGAATTAATTTGGCTTAAAGGGATCGACTGTAAGCGTAATTTCTATTGACCCTTGAAAGCTTTATTTGATCAATATAAATTAGATATGCATGTTTTCGTTCCTTTAAACTGTTTACTTTCATTTGCGGTTTCTCGGCGAAAATGATGTTCGCATTTCTTGCTTCTAACAAAAATGTGGAAACTCACAAAAATAAACACTTCGAGTCAGAAAAAAGGAATTACCTTTTTTAAATGTATAATTATAAAGATTATTTTGTCCAATTCCAAAATGTTTTAAGTCTTTGGAATTGATTGATAACTTTCTTGGCACGAATCGGATCAGTTACATTTCATATAGGTATATTTCATATAATTACATTTCCTTTAGATTCCATTTTCTATAAAGTTACATCTTACTAAAATTACATTTGCTAAAATTTGCATTTACATATTCTAAATTAATTTCACATTTATGTAGCTGCAGCGCTTAGCCCCATAGCCAATTCTTAACCCCAAATAATATGTTATTATAGGATTTGAAATCATTTATAGGAAATGTAGCTTTACAGGAAATGTAATTATAGCAAGTTCTAGTTCTGGTAAGTGTAATAATAGGAAATATGTAATTATAACAATTGTAATTATATGAAGTATGTAAGTAACTATGAAATTTAACTGAGCCTAAGAATCAGGATCAGTTTTTCTTAATTACATAAACCAAAATTCTACACCGTAAACTAAATATAAGTTTTCATGATGTAGAAGGCAAGCAATTAGGGGGTGGAATACATAGAGAATAGAATATATATTAGAGAGGAAATTAAAGAGACCCTCGGTATGAATTTTTTCAGTCCCTTTCAGCCTGAAAGGGAGTTCAAAGTGTTCAAATCATGCAAATGTTCACAAATTATATGCATTAAAGAAACAGTACAACAAAATGGCCGTTTTACACTTTTTTCTAGTAAATTCCCCTCTAATATATATTCTATTTTCTATGGGTGGAATATTTTCTCTTTCTGAAAACATAAGGCGTAAAAACTGTCCGGTAAAAATTTATGAGACAGGGTCTAGGATTCAGGCTAAATGTACACAATAACCTATGCCTTTGTTTGCCTGGTTTTTATGGTTTATTCGGTTGGATTCATTTCCCTTCAAAGCAAATAAAATAAAAATAAATTTATAATGCTGCTAGGGTGTAGAAGCGAAAAAATAATTTTCTTGAATTTTTTGAAATTTTGAAGAAAATCTATTACGTCTCAATTTATGCTAGATAGCGTAAAAGTTTTTATTTAAATTAAGATGAACTATATATCCCTGTACCCCTGGATAGGTATCTTATACCCTGGTACCACGCAGCAGCTGCAGCAGTGCAGGTACCATGGACAACCATTCTGCCTACGCAACCCTAGGGTTACTGTGTACATCAGGGGCACTCAAACATTTGGAATTTTAAAATGCATCTAGGAAATAGTAATATTTGGAGGTTAAGACCAAAAAAGTTATTATTTTCCAATAAATTAATATCTATTAAGATTTTAATGTAATAATAATTAATATATATTAAGATTTTTCGTTTTAATGGAGTCATAAAAGGCGATTTTTGCCCCCNCCCCGGACGCCATGAGCCTCTGCTATGCAGACATCGAGCCTCCCAGATTCGCTAGGCAGACCGAGCCTCCACTATGCAGACAAAGCCTACGCTATGCAGACCGTGCCTCCGCTATGCAGTAAACGAGCCTCCACCATTCCCACCATACAGCACAGCTTTTTTTAAATCTTGGTTTTTTGAGTGATGAAAACTTTTAACAATTTTTTTTTGGACGTAGTGGCATAAAAATTTTATTAAAGATTAGAGTTGTTCATTGATTGTCATGATTAGAAACATATATGGACTCATAAAATGGTTTATAAGATTTATATTAAAACTTTAAACATTTCTTATGCGGAAAGGAAGATATTTGGAGAAACATTTCTGGAGTACTTGGTTTGTTCTGTTGTAATCTTTGATTTAAACAATACCTTTTTTTGAAAAATGTTAAGATTTAAATAATAAATACAAATTTTTTAGATTAAATTTGAACTTCAAAAAAAGGTATCGCTAAAATCAAAGATTATAAAAGATGAAATGAAATTCAATTCAAATTTTTTTCTAAATATTTTCCTTTTCGTGTAAAAAATGTTTTAAAGTTTGAAAAACCTCCTGTATTACACAGGCACACTTTGATGTGTTGCACATGCTCATTTCTGCAAAGCGGAGGCTTGGTCCGCCTTGCAACTCTGGGAAGCTCGTGTCTGCATAGATGAGGCACATGGCGTCCAGGGGTTCCCTCCCTCCCCCCCTTCTCCTGCCGTTCTGCGCCCACAAAAAACCTTAAACAGGACTATAGTGATAGTAGGACCGAAATTGATATTATTTGGGTTGAAAAATACTGCGCACTGTAGAGAGAAAGGTTAGATGAGATGGCTCCTAACCATTGAGGATTCTCTCAGTAAAGGAGTTGCGCATTTCTACTGCAGGAAAACATTATTAGAAAGAAACAGTTTTAAACCTGTAAAAACGACACTATTTTCTGCATAATTGATCAGATAGATACCATGATATGATGATTTGAACGCGTTACTACATTTTTAAAACTTTTCAAGGTTGCAGTCACAATAATGGTTCAGAGAGCGGCCGGGAAGGCAGGTGGCCATGAGCCACCACTATTTCCCCTTCCGTGCCACATTAGCTTTTTACTCTTCCGGCAGCCATGAGCCACCACTATTTCCCCTTCCGTACCACCACATTTGACTCTTCCAGGCAAAACTACTTTTTTAAATGTTATATTTAGGGCCTTTAAAGTGTGATTTTAAAAGATCCAGCCGTGTCACGCAAAAAAAGCACAACTCAAACCATTTTTTCAATTCTACTTAAGATTAATATTTTGTGTGTTGAATTCTTAAACTGTTTTACAAAGAAATTTTTGACAAAGGGGATGGTGGAGATGGCACATTTGATGTAAGGGGGGGGGTCATTTTTGGTTCAAATCTTCCAATTTTTTGACTCTACCCGAAATTTCGAAATTTCTAAAATAAAATCAAATTGAATTTTAATGACCTCTAATGACCTCTTATGACCTCCACAAATAGAAAATATTTCAAATATGACTTTATGCATATCAAACGAAAGCTAGCAGTACAGTAGCAGCAACAAATCCAGTGTTTGACCTTGTAATGACCTCTTACGGCCTGTAATGACCTAAATGACCTCCAAAAATGAAAATGTTTTAACTATGGCTTTATGCATATCAAACGAAAGCTAGGAACCCCAGGAATACAGTAGCAGCAAAAAATCCATTAAAGAAGGTCATTCTTATGTCCTTTAACGTCCTCTTATGACCTAAATGATCCTCCAAAAATGAAAATCATTTAACTATGGCTTTATGCATATCAAACGAAAGCTAGGAACCCAGGGAATACAGCAGCAGCAACAAATCCAGTGTTTGACCTTCTAATGACCTCTTACGACCTCGAATGACCAAAATGTCTTCCAAAAATGAAAATCTTTCAACTATTGCTTTATGCATATCAATTAAAATCTAGGAACTCCAGGAATACAATAGCAGCAACGAATCCAGTGTTTGACTTTCTAATGACCTCCAACGACCTGTAATGACCTAAAATGATCTCCAAAATAAAAATGTTTTAACTATGGCTTTATGCATATCAAACAAAAGATAGGAACCCAGGAAATACCGTAGCAGCAATGAATCAAGTGTTTGACCATCTAATAAACTATAATGACCTCTAAAAATAAAAATGTTTTAACTATGGCTTAAAGAAAGCTAGGACCCAGGGAATACAGTAGCAGCAACGCATCCAGTGTTTGACTTTCTAACATACCTTTAATGACCTCCAAATTGAAAATGTTTTAGCCATTGTATGTATTTCAAACAAAAACTAGGAACTAGAGAAATGTAGTGTTTGAACTTCTAATGACCTAAAGCAACCTATAATAACCTTCATGAAAATATTTAAATATGGCTTTATGCATGTCAAACAAACATTAGTAAACCACAAAGAATCGAGTGGCAGCAGCAAATCCAATGTTTGACATTCTAATGACCTCTAACGACCTGTAATGAGCTCCAAATTGAAAATTTTTTAAATAAGGATTTATGTATATCAATCAAAAGCTAGGAACCCAGACAATACAATAGTGCGTGGTGTCATCATATTAATCTATTTGGATTGCTTTAATCAATAACACGTTTATTTGAAACATGTGTCACTAGTGTTTTAATTATTGTGACACAATTTGATTTATTTATTTTAATGTTGCAAACTAAAGAATTTACTTTTTTTGGGGGTACTTAATCACATTTTTATTGATACAAAATTGTTTTTGTGTAAAAAGTGTTACCCATTTTTGGAGGTCATTTAGGTCATAAGAGGTCGTTAGAGGTCATTAAAAGGTCAAACAATGGATTTGTTGCTGCTACTGTATTCCCTGGGTTCCTAGCTTTCGTTTGATATGCATTAAAGCCATAGTTGAAATATTTTCTATTTGTGGAGGTCATTAGAGGTCATTAGAGATCACTTGAGGTCATTAGAGGTCATTAGAGATCGTTAGAAGGTAAAACACTGGATTTGTTGTTGCTACTGTATTCCTGGGGTTCCTAGATTTTAATTGATATGCATGAAGCCATAGTTAAAACATTTTCATTTTTGGAGGTCATTTAGGTCGTTAGAGGTCGTAAGAGGTCATTAGAAGGTCAAACACTGGATTTGTTGCTGCTACTGTATTCCCTAGCTTTCGTTTGATATGCATAAAGCCATAGTTAAAATATTTTCTATTTGTGGAGGTCATAAGAGGTCATTAGAGGTCATTAGAGGTCATTAAAATTCAATTTGATTTATTTTCGGAATTTCGATCACTAATTAGGCTTGTAGCCAAAAATTGGAAGATTTGAACCAAAAATGATGGCCGGGCCCCCCCCCCCCCTTACATCAAATGTACCATCTCCTCCATCCCCTTTGACTGAGTATTGCATCTTAAAATATCACAAATATATCACAATATTATTCAATTACTGTCTCATTATACTAAATCCATCTTAAAATCACTCATTAACCAACTCCCCCATCATCCAATCACCTCATAACTCATTCACTCACCTCATCCAATCACTCATTCAGTCTTTTCATCACTCCCTCACCTCATCATACACACTTAACACAAATCTACTCTCTTACACACTCACACTCACTCACTCACTCACTCACATTACAATTCAAGTGAAATTTCGTTCCTCAGAAAACAAAATTAGATAGGTTTAAATATATTGTTAGGTTCGGACATTCAGGGTTACCCACAAAGAATGACACTGATCAGAGACTACTGCAGAGAAGTTATATTTTTTATTCTCTGCAATAGTAAACATCTTTCTTTCTTTGCTATAGATATGACGTCATGTCAGTAGTTCAAATGAACAATAGTTCAAACGAACAATAGTTCAAATGTACCATAGTTCAAACGGCAGTAGTTTAAATGAGAATCCACCTCCCCCGCTCACCGTGCAGTATTTCTCAGGAATTGGATTGTAAGATCTCCTCTTTCTATCCCTCTCAGCTATAGTAAAGAACAGTCAGGAAAGCTCCGATTCTTTATTCAACCAAAATCTTCAATCTGACGTAATAAAAATTCATTACACCACAGAAAAAGCTTTGAGCGATCCAATCAAATCATTAATATACAGATCGCGTACTATAAAACGAAACTTAAAAAAAATGTTTTTAAAAAACGTACGTGTATTTCAACAAATAAGTAAGATTTATTTCGTAAAAATGCCACGAATAAACAATAAACATATTTACATTTTATAGAAACAACGTTAATGTCTGGGTTCTCTTTCCTGTCTACTGTAAGCTGTAATGTCTGCAAGTTTGTTCCTAAAGCCTGTATCCTGTCACGGTTCCAACGTCGCACATGCGTTGGGCAAAATCGGTCTTTTTCCGGTTGGATCTAACTGATCCACAGCAATTCTTTTTATTTCTAGTGAAATCCATCTACATCCAAAATGGTGAGTTATTTCATCAAAAATATTAAACAAAGTTTCGTTTGGTATAATGTTTTGTATCAATTTCTCGAGTATGGGGGTGAAATTCGATGTTTTCAGTAAATTTCTCTTTGTACTCGATTTCTCTAATTTCTCGGGGCATTGGATTCCTCTTTTATATTTGATTGTTTAATATGTTAATTCTAAAGCCTTAAAATGAAGCTTCATTTAGCCGTCACATTCTCCGATTATCATTGTAAAGTTAGGTTTCTTAATAAATCGTTTTAACCATTCTCATCGTCATTCCTGTACTTTCATTGATACTTAAAAGATAATATAGCTCTAAATCCGCATTTTATTTGATGTTAGTCATTCTTCCGTTGCATCATCCTACCTATCTTCAAATTGACGAAATAAAACTAAAATATTTTTAATCCGTCCGTATAATTAATCCTCGAGAGGGAAATGTTAATTAGACGTTTTTTCTCGTTAATTAACACCATGAGGGGGGGCGGCGGTTGTGTAGTCTGAAATGTGCGTTTCCTTTTATAGTAAGCTGTACTTCAAAGATAAAATTTGCATGTTCTTCGGTAAGGTTTTAATTTATAACTCCACTCTACTGTAACACACGCCGAATTGCTGAAAAAATCTTAAAAATTTAAATAACCAATCTGGTATTTATTGGATTAGGACTGAATCGATAATATTTTCACTTTGTATTTGTTAATCTTAAATTTAATAGAACAGTTTCCTGATTGTTCTTGCTTTAGGTGAATTTCAGTATTGATGAGGTCCGAGCATGTATGGACAAAAAAAAGAACATCCGGAACATGTCCGTGATTGCTCACGTCGACCATGGAAAATCTACTCTCACTGACTCCCTGGTGTCCAAGGCCGGTATTATTGCCGCCTCCAAGGCCGGTGAGACCAGAGCCACCGATACCAGAAAGGACGAACAGGAGAGATGTATCACCATCAAATCTACGTAAGTTGATACGAGATTAAATAAATTAAAAATTATGATCACTTTTGGGGTTGTATGCTTTCGATTAATGTATGCGTGCGGGTGAAAATTTTAAACACATTGCGTTTTTCAGGGGTATCTGGGGTCTGAAGTAAGTTAATATGTTTTAATGTCCTAAATATTTTTAGCGCCATCTCCATGTACTTCGAGATGTTGGCCAAGGATATTGCCTTCATCAAGCAAGAGAAGGAAGATACCCCTGGATTCTTGATTAATTTGATCGACTCTCCCGGTCACGTTGATTTCTCCAGCGAGGTCACCGCTGCTCTGCGTGTTACTGACGGAGCTCTTGTCGTCGTCGACTGTGTCTCAGGTTAATATCTTTGTATTTAAATGTAACATTTAATTACCTGTGATGTTATTCAAGTGGGAATCTATCTGATAATAACTGATTGAGTCATAAATCTTATTCTGAGAAATTACTCATCTTTTGTCTTCTGTCGAATTGAACAAAATTGGATTCTCACGTTACTTGTTTTAGGTGTGTGTGTCCAAACCGAGACTGTACTCAGACAAGCTATTGCTGAGAGGATTCGTCCCGTTCTTTTCATGAACAAAATGGACAGAGCTCTTCTCGAGCTTCAGCTTGGACAGGAGGAACTCTACCAGACCTTCCAGAGGATTGTTGAGAACGTCAACGTCATTGTTGCCACCTACTGTGACGACGATGGACCTATGGGAGTTGTCCGTGTGGATGTCAACAACGGTTCCGTTGGATTCGGATCTGGGCTCCATGGATGGGCTTTCACCCTTAAGCAGTTCGCTGAGATGTATGCTAGCAAGTTCGGAGTTGATGTTGACAAAATGATGAAGAAGCTTTGGGGAGAGAATTTCTTCAACTCCAAGACAAAGAAGTGGAGCAAGACCAAGGACGAGGACAACAAGAGATCCTTCTGCATGTACGTATTGGACCCCATCTACATGGTGTTCGACGCCATCATGAACTTCAAGAAGGAGGAGACAGCCAAGCTGTTGACCAAGCTTACCACCACCGAGGGCAAGGCTGTTAAAGATATCCTGAAGGTTGATGAGCTTGAGCTTGAAGGAAAGCCTCTGATGAAGGCTGTTATGAGGAACTGGCTTCCTGCTGGAGAAGCTATGTTCCAGATGATAGTAATTCATCTTCCCTCTCCTGTTACCGCACAGAAATACAGGTTATAAGATTATTACACATTAATTAAACCCAAGGGTTAAGTAACTCTTGAAATAGTGGCATATCAGATTTATAACCTTTGCTTCATACCTTTTTGTTGAGCATTTGTAGAACACGAATGCTTAAAGGGACCGTTCACTTATTTGGGTAATTACAGGGTAAACTAAACAGCCTATTCGCTCTTGATTGGTAATAGTCTTACTTTTCAAAGACAACTGTGGCCGGAGAAAAAGCCGATCTTTCGTTCAGAATTCGAGCGCAAAGGGACGGTCCTTCTCTATAGACACTATTTGATGTTTTTTTCAGTAGCTGCAGCCCAATAACATTTAAATTTATTATATTTCAATGTCATGTGTTCGTTATTATGTACTAAAATATGAAAACTTTTGATATTTGAGTCAGCGAGAAATTTACGTTTTTCGTTTTAAAACACATAAACTGTATACTAAGACGACGTCTCTACGACAATCAATTAATCATTACTCGTATTTTGGTTCGTAGATTTTGTAGATTTTGTTCCCGTATGTGCACAACTTTTCATTTGTCATGCCGCGTTCAATTCAGCTTTTACACGGGCAATACACAATTTTGAATGCAATAAAATAGTGTTATTTTAGAAAAAGAAAGTAAAAAAAAATTAAAATTATGACAATTACGATTAACGATTAGATACTACAGTTTAATTTTATATTCGAAATTTATTTTGATTCACAACATACTGAAAAAAACATCAATTAGTGTCTATTGCGCTCGAATTCTGAGCGAAAAATCGGCTTTTTCTCCGGCCACGGTTGACTTTGATAAGTAAAACTATTACCAATCAACAGCGCACTGGCTGTTTAGTTTACCCTGAAATTACCAAATTAAGTGAACGGTCCCTTTAAGTCATTTCACTAGATTGAGTACAGTTGTGAATCTGACTTGCCAGTCGTAAGCTGCTCATTGCATCTTTTCATTCGACCAGCATTCTCTTTCAAAAAATGTTCCCTCCTAAAGAAAGGAACCTTAAACCTTATAAAATATATTCCTAGAGCTGAGATGCTGTACGAGGGACCTGCTGATGACGCATGCTGCATGGGGATTAAGAACTGTGACGCTAATGCTCCTTTGATGATGTACATCTCCAAGATGGTGCCCACCTCTGACAAGGGACGTTTCTACGCATTCGGTCGTGTGTTCTCTGGCAAGATTAGTACTGGTATGAAGGCTAGAATTATGGGACCCAACTATGTTCCCGGCAAAAAGGACGATCTATACGAGAAGACTATCCAGGTATTAAAGAAATAAATTGTATTCAATGTAGGGTGAACTAAATGTTATATTAATTAAGATGCAGAAATTATCTAAAAATAATTGTGTCACCCTGAAAAATACATGATGAATACATATCCGGTTGTGATGTCTATGTGCAGTAACCTACCTCTAAGAAGACCTGAAATATTTATCTCTTAAGATTAATTTATTTAAATTGTTCAATATTAATTGGTACTTGTTCAGAGAACTATCCTTATGATGGGAGGCAAGGTTGAAGCCATCGAAGATGTCCCTGCTGGAAACATCTGTGGACTGGTCGGAGTTGATCAGTTCCTCGTCAAGACCGGAACCATCACCACCTCCAAGGAGGCCCACAACATGAAGCAGATGAAGTTCTCTGTCTCTCCCGTCGTCAGAGTTGCTGTTGAGCCCAAGAATCCCGCTGATCTGCCCAAGCTGGTCGAAGGATTGAAGAGATTGGCCAAGTCTGATCCTATGGTCCAATGTATGATTGAGGAGTCTGGAGAGCATATTATTGCTGGAGCTGGAGAACTCCATCTTGAGATCTGCCTCAAGGATCTGGAAGAGGATCACGCTCAGATCCCTCTCAAGAAGTCCGACCCCGTGGTTTCCTACAGGTAATTGAAACTGCAACATAAATATTAACGTAAAGGGGGGAGGGGCACGAAACGTTTACTCTCCGGGAAACTTAAACAGTGTTCAGACATAATTTAGAATTGTCCTAGGAGGCTGATTTTTTACCTGCGAACTTGAAATTATGAGTATAAAAAGCATTTTGTTTTGGAACGAATCCAAACAAAAGATCGCGCGCGCGTTTTGTGTGAAATTTAATCAATTTAAAATTAAACACTTAAATGTTTATCCTGACTCACTTCAATCAAATGCGTTCAATAAATTGACCTCTAAAGCCTTGAACGTCCGCTTGCGCACGCAACAAATTAATTTCTTTGAATACGTATGTGCCAAGTTTTGCCTAAGTTTGAATAAAAGTAGCGGGAAATGATGAGATACATACTATAGTAAAATTGGGACAATGAATTCATTGTCGAGGCAAACATGGATATTGGCGCATTCTGATTTGCGCATTAGTTGCCAACCATTATTTTATGCGTCATTTAGCACAAATTTTAAATGCATGTTGGCCATGAGAAATATTAAAATAAGTCTTATTTTTCACTTTCCAAAGCGCACGCGCGTACCTTTGCTGAGATATGCTTGAAACAAAACAAAAATGCATGTATCATACTTAATTTTAAGTTGGCATACATTAAAGCAGCTTCTTGTGCTAAGTTTTCCGAATAGCACATATTCGTACAACCCCCCACCAGGGGATGGAATGGAATTATATACACCCCTGATACTAACAGTCCGTTAATATCCCGATACTGGATGAATTTAGAGATTAATACTAACAGTCCGAAACTATCCCGATACTGGATATGCTAACAACTGTGATTATCCTTTATTAGAATCATCATTCAGCACCCGGGGGGGTTTTCTTCAGTCTAGTAAGCTAGTTAACTTCTGGGGTGGGGGAATGATTTTCTCAAGTATATGAAAGTAATGATTTTTTAGAAAATATATACTTGTTATACCTAATCTATAACTAACCTGATCTCTAATATCCCAATACTGGATACCCTCTTTTACTGTAACCTTATCTTAATGTGTTCTCCTATTTTCATCTTGATAAATTTTAATGCAATAATAAGATTCCATAGAATTCTTACTTCAAATGTTGTGATTGTGAAATGACCTCTCTTGTCTTTAATTATGTTCTATTTCTGTCTCTATTTTTAATTGGGGTTTTAAATTTTTGTTTAATTTTAGTGTCCTGAGAACGCCGTTGGAGGAATCTACGGAGTGCTGAACAGAAGGAGAGGACACGTATTCGAGGAGGCTCAGACTCCCGGAACCCCTATGTTCGTCGTCAAGGCTTACCTACCTGTCAACGAATCCTTCGGTAAGGATGGTTTTGTTTTATGGGATTATCTGAGGTTTACGCGATGCCAAAAATTATTTTTACTAATGTTATTCAACGTTGTACGATTATTTGATACCTGGAACCAATTGAGACCAAATTTAAATTGTAGTTTTTTTTATCGACTTTGGGACGGGGTTATTTTTATTAAAGGGAGTGACCGGCTTTGTAAGGTAGTTGAACTGAGGACGCAGTGTTTTGGTCCTTTGGAAAACTTCTTTAGGATTCATTTGAGACATATTTTACTTTTTAAAAGTCTGTAAATCCCGAGTTTGAGCGCAAATTCGACGTTCAAAACTCCTGATTTGGGGGTGGATACGCTTTCAGAATTAGTTTTTTAAAAATTATTAATCAACGACGACATAAAAAGTAAAAATATTCTACAACAGACGTGATGTTTAGGAACATTTTGAGAAAATAAAAATTAATCTTATCATCGAAAATAAGTAATCTTGTTCAATTATTAGTTTCTATAAAGTTAACAGACCATCTTATGGTTGGGCATTAATGTAAAATCACGCGTGACAATTTGATGAGGGGGGGGAATCCTAATTATTGTGTTAAAACGTTAGTTCCTTTATCCCCTTCAAAATATTCAAATTGGGTATAATGTGTCGAGGAGATTCAACTAAACACACCTTTTACATTTTTTTATTTCCAGGGTGAGGTTAACCCCAGAGACGACTTCAAGATCCGTGGAAGATATCTTGCCGACAAATACGATTACGATATCACTGAAGCCAGGTTAGTCCTTCACGTTAGTCTCCATTGTCCATGGACTAGTCAGCAGGTTGGCCCCATGGTCTTCAGGCGTTACATCCGTGGTATAGAACAGATTACTTCTCAGCTCCTGGAGTTGAACCCGTTCTGGGAGATACTTCAGGAGTTCTGTAATCTCCCGCCGAGAGTTGGATGTACGTTCTTTACGTACACCCTTAGTATGGTTGGATACACTTAACTTTAAATAGAAATGTTTTAAAATTTAAATTTAAGCCAAAAAATATCCCAGTAGTCCATGGACTAGTCAGCAGGTTATGTGCACCTGTAGCATAGTTAGATACATTTCAGTTTTAATCTAAAGTTCGTTTCTTATTTTTATTTTAACGAAAAAAATATTTTAGTTATTCCCTATAGTTGGAGATATAAACTCGAGTTTTAAAAAAGCTCGTTTTATCAGTTAACAAATAGATATATTGTGGCTTGTAAATTGGAATCATAATTTTTATTGTAACTAAAAAAATTGGAATCATAATTTTTGTTTTTTTTTAGAAAGATCTGGTGCTTCGGTCCCGACACCAATGGACCCAACATCCTTGTCGATTGTACCAAGGGAGTCCAGTACCTCAACGAGATTAAGGATTCCGTCGTTGCTGGATTCCAGTGGGCCAGTAAGGAGGTATAAAAGGACTAGTTTTAGTTCAAAATCTATTTTGCTAACAAAATCTGTTAGAAGGGGTGGGGTATTGATTGAATCCCATGAAAGTCTCCATCCTTTAATGGAATTTAATGAATTTAATATGATCTAAAGTTTACGCACTCAAGACTGCGAATAAACGCTAATTGTATTATGTAGGGAGTTCTCTGCGACGAGAACTTAAGAGCAGTCAGGTTTAACATTTATGACGTTACCCTTCACGCTGATGCCATCCATAGAGGAGGTGGTCAGATTATTCCTACAGCTAGGCGTGTACTCTACGCTTCCCTGCTCACAGCTCAGCCAAGGATGATGGAACCTGTTTATCAAGTTGAAATCCAGGTAAAAAGTCCAGCCCTTGCTCTCATTGTTAATTATATAGGGTGTACTGTGTGACGAGAATATGCGTGGAATCAGGTTCAATATCTACGACGTTGCTCTTCATGCTGACGCTATTCACAGGGGTGGTGGTCAGATTATCCCAACCTCAAGAAGAGTTATTTACGCTTCCATGTTGACCGCCAAGCCCGCAATGATGGAACCTGTTTATCAAGTTGAAATTCAGGTTTACTGGTTGTTGTGTGCAGTGCAGAAATCCTGTTCTAGATCGATACTTAACACTTATCCCGATACTGGATAAATTAAGAGATTCATACTAACAGCCAGTAAATATCCCGATACTGGATAAATTAATAGATAAATACTAACCAGGGGTGTATATAATTCCTCTAAATTTTTTAAAATTCCTTTCTCAAACTCCACAACTCAAGACGATAAATTAAACTCTTCTTAGATTTATTATAGCATCATCTGAAACAATTTACTTATTCCCTTCTTCCCTTCGCCTTCCCTTCCCCTTTCCCTCTTTTTTGACCTTTGATCCCCCCCCCCCCAGGGGATGGAATGGAATTATATACACCCCTGATACTAACAGTCCGTTAATATCCCGATACTGGATGAATTTAGAGATTAATACTAACAGTCCGAAACTATCCCGATACTGGATATGCTAACAACTGTGATTATCCTTTATTAGAATCATCATTCAGCACCCGGGGGGGTTTTCTTCAGTCTAGTAAGCTAGTTAACTTCTGGGGTGGGGGAATGATTTTCTCAAGTATATGAAAGTAATGATTTTTTAGAAAATATATACTTGTTATACCTAATCTATAACTAACCTGATCTCTAATATCCCAATACTGGATACCCTCTTTTACTGTAACCTTATCTTAATGTGTTCTCCTATTTTCATCTTGATAAATTTTAATGCAATAATAAGATTCCATAGAATTCTTACTTCAAATGTTGTGATTGTGAAATGACCTCTCTTGTCTTTAATTATGTTCTATTTCTGTCTCTATTTTTAATTGGGGTTTTAAATTTTTGTTTAATTTTAGTGTCCTGAGAACGCCGTTGGAGGAATCTACGGAGTGCTGAACAGAAGGAGAGGACACGTATTCGAGGAGGCTCAGACTCCCGGAACCCCTATGTTCGTCGTCAAGGCTTACCTACCTGTCAACGAATCCTTCGGTAAGGATGGTTTTGTTTTATGGGATTATCTGAGGTTTACGCGATGCCAAAAATTATTTTTACTAATGTTATTCAACGTTGTACGATTATTTGATACCTGGAACCAATTGAGACCAAATTTAAATTGTAGTTTTTTTTATCGACTTTGGGACGGGGTTATTTTTATTAAAGGGAGTGACCGGCTTTGTAAGGTAGTTGAACTGAGGACGCAGTGTTTTGGTCCTTTGGAAAACTTCTTTAGGATTCATTTGAGACATATTTTACTTTTTAAAAGTCTGTAAATCCCGAGTTTGAGCGCAAATTCGACGTTCAAAACTCCTGATTTGGGGGTGGATACGCTTTCAGAATTAGTTTTTTAAAAATTATTAATCAACGACGACATAAAAAGTAAAAATATTCTACAACAGACGTGATGTTTAGGAACATTTTGAGAAAATAAAAATTAATCTTATCATCGAAAATAAGTAATCTTGTTCAATTATTAGTTTCTATAAAGTTAACAGACCATCTTATGGTTGGGCATTAATGTAAAATCACGCGTGACAATTTCATGATGTAATTTAAGTGGGAATCTATCTGATAACCCATGATAGATGCAAATAACTTACTCTGAATTTTTATAACATTAAAGTTAAATTTTATAGAATTTCAAGACCTAAAATCAAAACTTTTTTCTAGGATTTACCGCCGATCTTCGCTCCAACACCGGTGGACAGGCCTTCCCTCAGTGCGTATTTGATCACTGGCAGATTATGCCCGGAGATCCCCTTGAGGTAAAAGTTTCTGTTATGTTCTGCGTATTCTTACTTCTCTTAACGAGAAAATTAAGATCTTAATGTCCGCCCCAATTATTTAATGATTAAAGTTTAAATGTCAAATGTACAACTTCAGGTTGCAACGGGATCAGAACATTTTAGTTTTAACTCCCTTTTTGCAACATATGTTTGTTCCCAGCCTTTTTGAGACAGTTTTTGAACAATCGTAAAACTTGATCAATTCTATTATTGTAACAAGAATGTTCTCCATATAGTACATAAAAAAGTTCATGATTTTGTTTTAATTTACAGGGTGGCCAAAGTGTACGGATTGTACAGATTTTTTTTTCTCAAATTGTTCGGATTTTCAACCTGGAAATACACCGGTTTTTTTATTTTTCACTCATTTCAGTAAATTTTTCATGATTTCATAAATCGGTCAAAATGAAGTTAGTTTAAAATTTTCGTCAAAATAAAGTTAGTTTAACCTATTTTCTGCATTCTAAATAATATTAGATTAATAATGTTTCAATTGACGATTAAAATTCATTAAAAATTTTTGTGATTTCCCAGAAGTGTTCATTTGAGAATATGTTCCAGAAGTGATCATTTGAGCAGACCCAGTTTAGAATTTTAGTATAGTAGACCAACTGTTGAATATGGTGTAGCAGACCCAGTTTAGAATATGGCGTAGCAGACTCAGTTCAGAAAATAGTGTGGCAGACCAAGCTTAGAATATGGTTTTGAAGACCCAGTTTAGAATATGGTTTAGCAGACCCAGATTAGAATTGTATGGAAGACCCAGTTTAGAATATGGTGTAGCAGACCCAGTCTTAAATATTTAGTGTGGCAGATCCAGTTAAGAATATTGTGTGGAAGACAGTTTAGAATATAGTGTGGAAGACTCAGTTAAGCATATAGTGTGGCGACCTAGCTTAGAATAGTGTGGAAAACCCAGTTAAGATTATAGTGTGGAAGACCCAATTAGTAAGAATAAAGTGTGGCAGACCTAGTTTAGAATAAAGTTAGCAGACCCAGTTTAGAATATGGTTTTGGAGACCCAGTCTAGAATATGGTGTAACAGATCTAGTTTAGAATATGTTGAAGCAGGTCCAGTTTAGAATAAAGTGATGCAGACCCAGTTTAGAAAAAGTGTGGCAGACCCAGCTTAGAATATGGTTTTGCAGACCCAGTTTAGAATACGGTGTAGCAGACCCAGTTTAGAATATGATGTAGCAGACCCAGTTTATATTATGGTGTAGCAGACTTTTTTTTTAATATAGTTCTGCAGACCAAGTTTAGAAAATCATATTTACGGATTGTAGGGATTTTTTTTCGAAAATTGATTTTTAATAAATGTAACAGATTTTAAAAAAGTACCGATTGTGCGGATTTTTTCATTTAAGTTTTGGCCACCCTGAATTTACAGAGGCTGATTTTTAAGATTGATGTTGCTAACACTTGGAATCATATGTGATTTTTCAAGATTGAAGCCGGCAGTCCATTAAAACCGGTTTTGGGGAAAATTGAGACGCGGTTTAAGTTCATTTAATTAGGACATTGAAGTATCATTTTTTTCATTAAAACTGATTAACTTCTTTTTATTTTAGGTTGGAAGCAAGGTGAACCTTATTGTTGAGGCCTGCAAGGTGAGGAAGGGATTGAAACCTGGAAACCCATCTCTTGACAACTACTACGACAAACTATAATCTGCTGTCAGCGCAAAAATTTAGGATAATTTGATTTTGCGTTTAAACCCCGAACCTTCGGGGTTAATTATTTTTCTAATTATTTGTACAATACAAGAAACTACGGATATTTGCCCTGACAAGCCGTTTATTGAAAATATATTCCATCGTATGTAAATTGTTGCGGTGATGCTCCAATAAAGCTTAAAATATATACATTCTTTGTCGTCAAATTTTGTTAGTTTTATTTACACACGTATCCTGTATTTGGGATTAGATATAATGAGTGGGGGAAAGTAAACTTTATATATGTGTAAGGAAGGGTATTTAAACCTTAGAATTGGACATACAAACTCTTTTTATTTTAAAACATACTGAGTTACATTTAACAAATAAATAAAAACTATTTTTTTCTGTTCATTCCTCTGAGTTCAGTCATAAAATCTCTGATTTATTTAGATTCTCGTACTTCAAGTAAACTTCTTCTTTTGATTTTTATATTTTACATAGAGCATTATTTATTCATAAAGAAATCGTAAGCATTTGGTAATTGACACATTTTTGATGTTTTAATTTTAAAGTAAAGTAAGCTGGCTAAAGTTAATAAGAGATCGTAGGGACAAAAAAAAACATTTTCACTCTTCAAATAAAGGTCGATTTGCATCAAGTAGCAAAAGGCAGAATCTAACAAAGGTGATCAGAAAAAAAATAAAAAATAACAAGAAGCGAAAAGCTTAAAAGAACAAGGCGATACACCAGTTAGTAACCAATGTTATCTCGTTTTTAAACGTTAACGAGAGGTGTTTTAAACATGAGCATTTATAATTGACCACGATAGAACGAAAAAATGCTAACAATTAAAGACCAAAAAATATATTTAAAAATGGATAAATAGAAAGGTGAGGTGATTCACCAGTATTATCTCGTTTTGAATTGTTGACGATAGATAGTTAAAAAATAGTTCAAATGAACAAAAAAATAGTTAAATTTGAACTATTTTTTACCTAACCTATTTTTTTGTCCATTTGAACTATGTTTTAGTCCATTTAAACTATTTTTTTTCATTTGAACTATTTTCATGTTCATTTGAACTATTTTCATGTTCATTTGAACTATTTTCATGTTCATTTGAACTATTTTTATGTTCATTTGAACTATTTTTATGTTCATTTGAACTATTTTTATGTTCATTTGAACTATTTTTAAGTTCATTTGAACTATTTTTATGTTCATTTGAACTATTTTTATGTTCATTTGAACTATTTTTATGTTCATTTGAACTATTTTTATGTTCATTTGAACTATTTTTATGCTCATTTGAACTATTTTTATGTTCATTCTGTGTAATGATTATCTAATTAATTGTCATGAATATAACTTCATGAAGATTATAAAACAAATTTTAAAACTGAATTGGGGGGTTATAGAAAAATAGTTCAAATGAGCAAGAAATGTGTTGATTTAAACTATAACAGGATATGACGTCATGTCAGTAGTTCAAATGAACAATAGTTCAAACGAACAATAGTTCAAACGTACCATAGTTCAAACGGCAGTAGTTCAGATGAGAATCCACCCTGAGGCTCGGTCTGTCAAGCGAATCTGGGAGGCTCGTGCAGTCTACATAGCGGAGGCTCATGCCGGTCGGAGGTTTCCTCCATCGTCGCCTGATTAGTAGCTATTCAACTTGCATTAAAAATACTGATAAAAAAGCATAAATAAATAAAGCTCAATGTGGGGCACAATATCAAAATGTTAGGAAACAGTGAAATTCATGGTAAACATTTAAAAATACCGGTTGACGTGGTATTACGCAATGTTGGAGGGTTGGTTTCAAAGACGACCTAAAACGGATGTTGTATTCTCAGCTCGAACCTAGCTAAACTTTGAGAACATACTAAACATAGCAACGTGGATTCTTGGGAAACCGAAACTCACCGTCAAAAACTCGATAATCAATTTTACAATTGTTGATAATAGAAACTATATGTTTATGTTATACCATGACTACTGTCAAATGAAAAGAACATTCTAAAGATAAATATCATAATAATGAAATTGCAGTAAACTATTTATACAATTGATAAATAAATATCGGCTCATGCGTTAAACTGTGAGGGGAGCTAACAAATAATCATCTAATATATAAATCACGGTAATTTCCTAGTATACGATTTTTGGAATAAAAGGCTGTCTGAGCTCTCTACTGAAAAAATCATTGAAATGTTTGTGCAAGCAAATCCCAGAAAATTGTAGCTTAAAAGAGTTGGTGAATATGTAGATTGAGTAAATTCTATCTAAAAAATTCAAAAGAAAATTTCATTTATTAATAAAAATATAATTTTTAATGATGCTGTGATTATTGATTTATGGTATTTTTATGGTGAACAAAACAAGTCCAGGTGGGAGGGGGGGGAAAAAAAATAAAAAAGGTATCGATATTTTTTCAAAAAAGGGGTTTTTAAGGGGGGGGCATACTTTTTTTTGCGAGCTTACGCGCCCAAAATCTGCCCCCCCTTAAACAAAAGCCCTCATACGCCCCTGATATAAGAAGAATATTCACCGCAGTGATCCTAGAATCATTGACACAGTTTACATTATCGATACACTAAACGGATTTATAACTATTGAAAACACAAAAAACTGCCAGATTCGAGAATTCCGCACATGCGTAGACGAGAAGTTCACTGTATTTAAAACTAGTTTTTTCAACTCTTTTCTGTACAGATGAACAGGGTGAACTCAGAAATCAACAGGGGCGCAACATAGACTTTACTTATGCAGTGTGAGTTCGTGTAACACTCACCAACCAATGAGAAAACGAAAAAGTTCTATCTGCACCCCGCGACCTGAACATCCTGATCTCTTAAATAACCTGAAAAAAATATTTCACTTTATTTCACTGAGATCATTAGAGTATGAATTTATCAACTCCCTCAGTCTAGAACATCCGATCCTCCCATGGGACCTCTAACTCTAGATCCAAGTCATCAGGAAACACAACTCTAGGAACTCCTTCAATCAATTCATCATAGGTAAGAGGTCGCTCCACCACTCTCCTTGAGAACCTCAAGGCTGCACTCTGCCTCCTGGGTGACGGAACCTCCTCCTCCTTCTCTCCCTCATCCTCCAGAAACACCTCATCCTCCTCATCTACCATCACCACCTCCTCATAGCCATCCTCCTCTGAGGCCCGGAGACACTCTCTCCGAACCCATTCCTAGCTCCGGATGAACCAGGAGAAGGCTGGGATGGAGAGACACCTAGCGGCTCCTCAGCAGTAGAACCAGCTGCACTCTCCTTCAGACTCCTCATCCTCATCCTCTTCAACTTGCTAGGCCTTGGGTCCGTCTTTCTCTTCACACCAGTCCTCACCTTAGGGGCAGGTAGAGCAGGAACTTCCCCCTTCCACTTAGTCCTCTCTTCATACTCCCAATCAGTCGATAGCTTAGTCAACCTGGCAACTCTCATCATCCTCACCTTCAACTCCTCCTCCAAAGAATGGAGTACTGCAAACTTCAGCCTCTTCTCAGTCTCATCTACAGCCTTCTCATCCAAAATCCTCCGATAGCAGAGACGCATCGCATCATACAGGCCTCCGTGAAGCCTCTGGAAACCTGTATCCTTCTCCATTCTCATGAAGAACTTGCACAGCTCCCGAGGATTCATCCTAGCCCATTCAAGGAGTGACCATCTCTGGCATCTACCGATCTCCTTGCTCTTCACCCTGCTCATATCCATCTCTAGGAGAGGGATCTTAAATCCCTTAGGCCGCTCCAACCCTCTTACACTCTCCACTGGATCCATCCATCCTTGTTTCTCCAGCTCCTCAGGATCCAATCCGAACCTAGAATATTCTTTGTCCTCCTCTCCAGGAACTTCTAACCTCCTTCCCTTGGACCAAGTATACTTGGCCTTGGCGAGGGACTTCATCTGATACAAAAACCACTCCCTGGCCTCCAGTAGAAACCGGCAACCTCCAGAGGTCGGGCTAGGCCATTCTCCCAGAATCTTAGTCCACAGGGTGATCAGAAGAGGAGGGAAATCACACAACTTCTCTCGCTTATTCCTATACCTCAGAGAACGGATCATCTCCTCCCTTGTCTCTGCTTCCTCCTCCGTCTTCTGATGGTACTCCACTCCCTCCAAGGACACCATCAGAAACTCCAAGAACCAGTCCGCAGCTTCCTTCTGATTGCACCTCAGAAACCTGCATAGTACATCTGGATCAGGAAACACATCACTCAGGATCAGTACAGCCAGGATGTTATACGACTTAAAACCAAACTGGATATCCCCTAGTGCGTAACATCTTAGAGACTTCGGGATTGACTGCCATCTTTCACCCCACCAGCCATCTCCAGTGGATACATTCTTGTTCAGAAGCGTTCCAATAACCTGAACACCCATCGCCGTCATATTCCTCAACTGAAATTTATAACCAGCCAGGATAGCCAGGGGCGTGAGGTCTATGAAACCCCTCTCCAGTCTCACCTCCTCCCTGGATATCAACAAGTAAAACTCCACTCCCCGAATGTCTCTCCGGATTGCAAGACCGACAGACACAGGAAGATCACCGAGTAACTCGATGATCTCAGGTTGGATCGTCATCCTCTCCAGAATATACTCCCTACTCTTGTTCCTCCTCAGGTTCAGAGAAATCAAACACGTCCAGGACACTCCATTTCTGAACATAATCTTCCCAGGTAGCTGCTTGAATACGTCCTTGGAGTAGCCTGTCATCAGTTCTGGATCACATTTCCTCTTCAGAACAGCATTCTTAGGATCATTCGTCACCTTTCCGGCCATCCTGAGAGTGTCAAAGTAAGTTGCTTTAACATCTTCAACATCAAAGGATACAATCCTGGTTCCAAAGAGACGCTGATCCGCATCCTGCATCCTATCAATCCATTCCTTCACCTCCAGGATCTCAGATGTAGAAGATACTCCACAGATCAGTTCTCTTACTTCAATCCTATCCAATATCTTCAGGTTTAATCCACGAATCTTCTGATACCTTTCCAGTTCTTCCAGCTTGGGATACTTCTAGGCATCTGTCCTTTTAGTATCCTCAACCAGGAAGTCCAATAGAGGAGCATGTAAAGGCAAGAACTCGTCCAGAGTTAACCTGCTTGGCCAATCCAAACCATCAGGAGAAACCCGGTTGAGATACAAAGACATGTATCTCTCATCTCCTCCAGTGTTAATCCTGTGGGTGCGCCCCGTCACTTCT